TACTAGTGGATCCTCACGTTTTATTTAAGTAATGTTTTTTATATCTCAATTTTATTCCAATTTCTTTTTTAATTTTATATCAATCTATATTCTTAATTTATTTCATTTTTATTTTGCCATGAATTTTTATTTCTTAGTGTCATTTATTATTTGTTTTTAATTGAAATATGATATAATATAATTGATAATGGAATCTGTATGTTTTACTAACACCAGTTGTATAAGAAAATTGTAAGTAACCATTTATGAGATCTGGGCTTGAAATAAAGATTTCTATTCTATTGCTGAGGAATAACAACAAAAATGATGGAACTGGCAAAATTCGGCGTTTAATATTGTTTATCAGGTAATGTATCCGTTGATAGGAAGCCAATATTAGTTTATCAACCCTTAATTAGTAACAAAAAACTACTTAAATTTCGTAGTCTCTATAAAGTTCTCTTTTATATGTTAATTAAGCGATGGGCGGGTGAACGCTGGCCTTGTGCTGTTATAGAAAATCCATCTAATCTAGAATAGTCATGGATTGGTTAAAATGATGGTGATGATGATGATGATGATGAAACGTTTAACAACGGCGCCAGTTGTAGTGCCGATAACTAATAGGATGGGATGTAAACCAAGTAAGGCAGGACTACATCGTATATTTTTATCATTAAGTTATGAATGCATGCCAACTTAGAGATTTAGTAGTGCACCTTCACTTAGTCCAACACCCTAACTACAAGTTAGCATAGACTTTTAATCAGAGCTCATATAGAACCAGACCTGAGCGTAAAATGTAACCTGCAGATGATTCTTAGGTAAGGTAGGTCGTAGGTAGGATGGTAGGTGGTGGAAGACTTAAAAAAAAAGAAATATTTATGATGGATTCATTTGTTTTATTGTCATGTTATAACGTGTAAGTACTTATAATTAAATTGACTTGATTATTATTCTTAGTTGAGCTCTTCGGGGAGGGCGACGACGGGTTCAGGGAGAACGGGGACTCCGATGACGACGGGCTCAACGGGCACGGGGGCGACTTCAACGACCTGGACGGGTTCGGGAGCGACCTCGACGACCTGGACGGGCTCGGGGGCAACCTCGACAACATGGACGGGCTCAGGGGCGACCTCCACAATGTGGACGGGCTCAGGCACGATGGCTTCGGGGGCGACAGCGGGTCCAACGGCGATGGGGCTAGCCTCAGCGGCGGCCTGGTTGATGTTCAGGATGATCTGCACCAGAGGAGTGCTGGCAGCAGCGACGGGAGCAACTTCAGCGGGAGCGGGAGCGACAATAGCGGGGCCGGGGACGACGGGCTCCTCAGCGACAACACCACCGTCGGGAAGGGGGAAGTCAATGATGGCTGGTCCAACAGAGATGGGGTGGGAGTCGATGATGGCAGGGCCGACAGAGATGGGGTGAGAGTCAATGATGGCGGGTCCAACATCAACGGGCTCGGGCTTGATGCCTAGAGCATCGAGGAGCATCTGTTCGAGGGCGGCGGCGGTGGCGGGGTCGGTGCTGGGGCTGTTGATGGCGGCGACGATCTCTTGGAGCTCGGCGAGCTCAGAGGCCACAGGGGTGGGCTTGATCATACCGGCCGAGGCCACGGCGGCGAGCAGAGCGATGGCGATGAAGTATTTCATTTTGATTTATCTGAAAATATTGTAAAGAATTCGTTAGCAATTAGTATTTCTGACCAACTATTAGAATACTACTGGAGTAGTAGCGTGGTACTAATACTTACTTATTGTCTGCTTGTAACAAGACTATGCTGTTGTAAATTTTCGCGAATATTTATATTGAAGTTTATCTACTAATCTGTATACAATATTAACTTATCTTATGAGTTAATACAAGATTGCGCTTCTTGTATAAGGAAGCTATTAAGTTTATATCTTATAAGTCTCTATCTATATACCGATGAATTTATAGTATTTTGTTTATTTAGTCAGTAAGATAGACGAGATAGTTAATATCCATAAGGTTTTTTTTGAGTCGTAAAAATCATCAAATATTTTCCCCCACCCTCGGCCTCGAGAGAGAATATCAGGCTCTTACTGACTTAAAACCACTCCGTTTCTTCTCTTGCATTTTCTTCAGCAAGGATCAAATTTTTTCCACCGTTACATCTGTTTTTATTCCGCCATAGTTTGCAGTCGGGATTTTAGTCCAGTCCAGAACCATATTTGACTAAATATATATCATTTATATGAAGCGATGTGCCCTTCACAACCTTTTCATCGACCGTTGGTGTATACCTATATTGTTTGGGCTTTTTACTAAACCAGTCGATTCAACTATTACAGATGACACCTTTATTTTGACAATGCACGGCAAAAGGGCTTTGCTGATGTAAAGCAATCAGCGCCATCCATGGACCAGAAGAGTTATAGATCAGATGTTGACTCATGCGGGTTGGGGAAGCCGCAAGAGACCACGTCTACATTGTCAGATGCTGACAAATAGCTTCACTAGACAGACAGACGGACAGACTGACACGCTTAATGTTAAAGCTCTTGAAATACTTTGTTCCTTTTTTTGCTTGACGTTCAAAAGTGCCTACTGTGGTCTCATTGAAATAAATGATTTTGACTTTGACTTTGACAACATTTTTTTTTCTTTTTACTATAATTATAGGGAAACACTATGCTATCCTTATTTATTCTTTCATCGTATTTTTAGGTATTCGTATACTTAAAAATACGAATTCTAGCAAAGCGGGCCTATAAAAGTTACAATATAAAGTGAGTAGTGATCCATATCTACGTTTTGTATGTACATTTTTATTTACTTTACTTCTTGCACAAAACATTGTACATAGGGCGGACATAAAATTAGCGATCATTGTATTACGTATGTCGGGGGCTTCAATGCAACTCAGGTAAGTATAATTCCTCTCTTACTTATTAGTTAAGGGGTGCCAACTGAAAATCAGTGTTGGGTGCTCTGTGCCCAGCTTTTGCTGAGTTGGCGACCCATTCGGATTGGGCATGTCCGCCAACCCAGGGTTGTATTATTGTAACTTTGTTAGGCTGTTTTAACGTTATTGTTTTGATTAATTTTATTTTTATTATTTTATTTTGTTGTCCTGTTATTCAAACTTTTAATTGTATTTTTTTTATTGTTGTATATTTTTTTTGTTTGTTCTTGGCCTTCATGTCTCAGTCCGAATAAAAACAGTTTTCTTTCTTTTTTACTTACTAGCGACCCATCCCAGCCTCGCATTTGTGCAATGCTGATGCAAAATTTCGCATCAAAGTCCGTTGCGTAGCCTTCAAGATATAATCATACATACATAGGAATATAGGGACAGAAGGTTTACGCAGTAAAGCTGGCATGAATTCTCACTTTGCATTTACTGTAACAAAAGTATTAAAACATAAATTTATCAACACAAATCTGGTATTACACACAGGAAAAAAACTATTTTATTTAATAATGGGGAAAGGAAAGTTATGATTTTTTGTACACAGCTGAAGAGTTAATAAGCAGAAAACCATAACTAGAACTTAGCTTGCCGTCCAAGATTTCGGTCAGCGGGAGGAAAAGCCCGGATGTCACCACTACAAAGATAGGGTGGTGATCGTTCTATAACAGTTATTAATTTATTTTACTACGTGTCTCTTGGATTAATGGAGGATGAAGTACTTAGCCTTGCAGTGGTTGCATGAATGTGGCAGACTTGTTCCAATAAATAACTTCTCATGTAGAAGTAACTTAAACTGGGTGAAGTGAGCTCACTTATCTTCTTCTTATATATAAAAATTTATTTCTGTTCGTTAGTCTCCCTAAAACTCTAGAAAGGCTGCACTGACATGGCTTATTGTGATTTAAAACATAGCTAGATAAACAGGGAATGTTCAAAAGGTCAACATGACTAAATTTAAAAAAGTTTGTATTTTAGGCGGTACTATGTTTGCCGTGTGAGCTAGTTTATTATACATATCTTGGCAGATACCTACTACTGAAGTACTGATCCATTAAGCCTTTGACTGCCGACAAAAAACTGTTGAAGGCAAATCCTCCGCTAACGGAGGTCACCGTTCACACCACTTAATGTGTTAAGGAATTGCTCAATTCCTCGCCCTTGATTAGCACGTTGGTTTTTACCTGTATAACACTTAAATACATGTAGTGATAATAATTTATTAGCCCTTAGCCAGAGTATATTTTTGAGAAAAGCACTGTTTATTTTTCATACGTTTTTAATAACTATCAGACGACGTCTGAGCTTGAACAAACTCATTGAATGATATTTCTTACTCTTCGGTATGAAGAGTATTACTTTTCTTACTCTTCAGTATGAAGGGTATAAGAGACTCATTGAATGATATTTCTTACTCTTCATACCGAAGAGTAAGAAATATCATTCAATGAGTATGTGTATGTTTGTTAATACTATCATCAGCATACATCTCTTGGTTATTCCTGAAGTCATTTATTTAGAAAATAAATAAAAACGGTCCGAGATTTAAACCCTGCGAGACACCCATTCGCTCCAGAAAGGGAGGTGCACCTTAACTTTGTACAACAAATTTTGGTACTTAGTATAACTTACTTGGACTTTTACTTAGACCTCGCTGTTTGTCCAGAAGCAGACTTGAGTTAACACAGAGGCGATTTCTGTGCGTTATACAGCCAACAGATATAGTCATCCAGCCGGTGTAGCGCTGTTGCAGGCATATGTGCAATGTAACCCGGCTTGACTCGGAGCAGGAGAAGCAACAACGTACTTTTTGTTATAGAGTAAGAGTCATTGCGTGTGTATGCTGAGAATTTGAGATTCGATTAAATGAGAGTGCTCATACCCGTAATTTAAGTAGCAGTATTACTGATGGAAATAATTATTATTTACACATTAATATCGATAATTTCGAAGCTAAGACGTAAGTAGGGTAAGATAAAAGTATTAGTAGGTTTAATAGGAAAAAAATATTTATGATGGATGCATTTGTTTTATTATCATGTCATAACGTGAACTTAAAATTAAATTGATTTGATTATTATTCTTAGTTGAGCTCTTCAGGGAGGGCGACGACGGGTTCAGGGAGAACTGGGACTCCGATGACGACGGGCTCAACGGGCACGGGGGCGACTTCAACGACCTGGACGGGTTCGGGGGCGACCTCGACAACCTGGACGGGCTCGGGGGCAACCTCGACAACATGGACGGGCTCAGGGGCGACCTCCACAATGTGGACGGGCTCAGGCACGATGGCTTCGGGGGCGACAGCGGGTCCAACGGCGATGGGGCTAGCCTCAGCGGCGGCCTGGTTGATGTTCAGGATGATCTGCACCAGAGGAGTGCTGGTAGCAGCGACGGGAGCAACTTCAGCGGGAGCGGGAGCGACAATAGCGGGGCCGGGGACGACGGGCTCCTCAGCGACAACACCACCATCGGGAAGGGGGAAGTCAATGATGGCTGGTCCAACAGAGATAGGGTGGGAGTCGATGATGGCAGGGCCAACAGAGATGGGGTGGGAGTCAATGATGGCGGGTCCAACATCAACGGGCTCGTGCTTGATGCCTAGAGCATCGAGGAGCATCTGTTCGAGGGCGGCGGCGGTGGCGGGGTCGGTGCTGGGGCTGTTGATGGCGGCGACGATCTCCTGGAGCTCGGCGAGCTCAGAGGCCACAGGGGTGGGCTTGATCATACCGGCCGAGGCCACGGCGGCGAGCAGAGCGATGGCGATGAAGTATTTCATGTTGATTTATCTGAAAATATTTTAAAAAATTCGTTAGCAATTAGTATTTCTGACCCACTATTAGAATAGTACTGGAGTAGTGCCGTGGTACTAATACTTACTTATTGTCTGCTTGTAACAAGACTATGCTGTTGTAAATTTTCGCGAATATTTATATTGAAGTTTATCTTCTAATCTGTATACAATATTAACTTATCTAATGACTTGGTACGAGGTTGTGCTTCTTGAATAAGGAAACTATTAAATACCTATCTATAAATACCTACCAACACACCAATTTATTATAGCCATAAGATAGACGAAATAATTATCATCCCTCGCTAAGGATCTAATTTTGTCTATGTACTGTCACATCTTAATTTTCTTGCTCCTGCCCTAGTTTGGCTATCGTGTGTCCGATGATCCAACGGCTGCGTTGCAGACAAAAATGGTATTTCTTGAGACCAGCCAATACACATTTTTGTTAAGATAACATTAAATTTATTTCTTCATTGTCACTCTTGAACAATTTTCACTTCTGAACATAGGCCCCCCGATAATTTCTAGATAGGCCGGTTGGAAGCCACATTCATCCAGCGTCTCCCATCAACCCTAATCGGGTTGTTTAGTTTGTGGGCGAACGTACTGCACTGCGCTTGCCGTTCATCATGAACTTACAGTTTTTTAACGTTTTAAGGAACATTCAATAAAATAATTTATTTGTGTGCATGTATTAAGTCTATATTTTATTCAAACCAGTCAGATTTACAAATGCTTTGCTGAAGATTTTATTACAAGAAAAGAGTTCTTAGTGATGTACTTCGGGCACAGGGAGGACGGGCACGCCGATGACAACAGGCTCAACCTGCTCGGGAGCAACGACACCGATGGGGTTCACAGCGATGGGATTAACGGGAGGGGCGACCTCAACGACCTGGACGGGCTCGGGGGCGACTTCCTCAACGTGAACAGGTTCAGGAACGATGGCGGGACCGACAGCGACAGGCTCAGGTGCGGCAGAAACATGGTTGATGTTGAGGATGATCTGCACTAGAGGAGAACCAGAAGCAATCTCAGTGGATACGGGGCCGGGGATGACAGCAACGGGAGAGGATTCAACCCAGGCGGGGCCGATAGCAACGGGCTCGGGGCTCTCAACCCAGGCAGGTCCAATTGCAATGGGCTCGGGGTTTTCGATGATGGCGGGTCCGATAGCGATGGGGGACAAGCCAGCGTCCACTATGGCGGGTCCCACGTCTACAGGTTCGGGTTTCAGGGCAGCGATGGCATCGACGAGGTGTCCGATGATAGCGGACGCGCTGGGGCGGTCCACGGGGGTGGCTGAAGCCACGGCGGCGGCGACAAGAACGATGGCTGCGAAGAATTTCATTTTTGTAGATCTGAAAACATATAATCAAATATAAATCAATATTGCAACCCTCATGTAAACGAGATAAACATTCGAGATTGACAACTTTCGTCTTCTAGGAAACTATTTAACGTCTGATGATTTGAAGATCAACAATATCTCAATATTTACAGCCAGACAGATATTTTACACAAAAATATATCAGTTAAGTCTCCAAAATGCAAATACTTACATTTTTGTCAGCAGTGAGTGCGATTATGCTATTTTTGATGCTTGCGGGCATTTTATATGGTCGTTTATCAATGAACTGAAGCAAAAATGCAACTTATCATTTAAGATTGTGAGCAGTCCACAAAGACGTTTTATATTTAATTATATTATGATTTACAATGCAATGTCTTAATCAATCACCTTTCTGTTGCCATGCACGACAGTATGCTTAAATGTGTATCTTTTGTTGATTGAGATATTAAAAATATGAATACCCAAGTACCTATAGGTATGTAGGTAGGCGAAATGAAACAACTACTTATAGAAATGTTATTATGTTCATGTGAAGAGATACAAAGCTGAAATATCATAGTGGTTTAGACATTCTCCATTCTTCCTTATTACCCTTTTTGCCGCGTTTTAGGAACACTTAATAACATGTGGTGAGTTTTCCCCGCTGGCGAAATGGCGATTTTTTTATCGGAAATCAAGACCTGATTTGGATTATGGGTCCTTACCCAGAAAGTTCTCTGTTTAAGGACGAGATACTTGACACATGTAAAAAAAATTAGGTCGATTTTCATTTGACTTGACTGCACGGCTGACGCGGTTTCGATTCCCGTACGGAACAACTCTTTGTTTTATTCAGAAATGGTTGTTCCGGGTCTATGTGTTATGTGTATGTGAAAGAAAAAAGAAGAGAGGGCGTTGTTCATCATTGAACATATTCCAGCTGATAAGAATGTTCTCCCTTGATAGGTAAAAAGAAATACAATTCGCGATTAGGCAGTTAATAAATAGGATGAATAAGAATTGGGGGTGTGTAGGTATATGGGTCCAATTTATACATAATTAGTCTTGTATAGTATAGAGTTTATAGTTCCTAATGATTATAATGCACAAATAAGTTTGGAAAAATGTTGAATCATTCATAATAACGAGTAATAAACAAATTTATCTAGGGACATACCCTTATGATATACCTAAGGGTTTTACATCAGTACAAATATCAAATTTAATGTGTTCACAAGACAGTTCAATTTGAAATATCTCTAATACTTTTAACAAATTGCAAGATTAAGTTATCAATATAAATACTTTTTATTTACAACGTTCCTTATTGCCAGATCAATAAATATCTTTTAATGCCTGTATTAAGGCACGTTTACTATTCGTTTATCGCGTACGCGTCAAGCCGTAGTAGCTATTTATGATCTGGCTTAGAAATAATGGTAAATTTGCGTAACTTGCACGTTTTTTAACAGGTATTGCGTGTTTAATATTTTTACTTATTATTTACCTTCTATCGACTTTTTTAATGGTTTGTTATGATGATACTTGTGGCTTTAGTAAGAAAGAGTATCCAAACTTTATAATATACCTAAATCCGAAAGTAGCTCTGTCTGTCTGTCTTTTCATCACGCCTAAACTTCTGAACCAATTTCTGTGAAATTTGGTACAGACATAATTTTGAAAAAATCTGCAGGAAGTCACTATAACACACGAACGAAGTCGCTGGCAAAAGCTCGTTTTTTCTGTATAGAACCTTGCTTTGCCGCATTATTTCGTACCTACAAGACTTCAAATATACATAGGTACTCATTTTTTCAGTAACTTTAAGAAACTAGGTATCTAATATTTTTTACGTTCTTAAATCAGAATTAGGGGCATCTTAAAGACAGGACTAGAGAAGTCATTTTATGATTTCCGCCCTCAAAAAAGGCACTTATCTCAAGGAGTATGTTAATAGCCTGTTACTTGCCTTGCCTTGGCTTTCAGTGATAATTAGTCTTCGGTTAAGACTTAATTTGAAAACGATAAAAGTCGATTAAAAACATGATATTCATAAGACACCGATATCTCCAATTAAGTGGGCAATTATGAGGATTATCTCCTCTTTGTATCTTTTTATTAGGAGTGGTTGGTCAACAATGATATCGCAGGCACACGTGTCCAAAGACAGGAAGAAGAAACTCCTGTTTTCTACATTTTTGAATTATTTTAGAGAATTTCACGGCAGTAGGCACCTACTAATAGGTTATGGATACTTAATGACTATTTTAATTTTTAATTTTATTGTCTTTTTTTTAAAAAAAATGAGATACATTCTATATTATATTAAATTATTATTCACGAATTTATAAGTATGTACGAGTATACTTGATAACTGATTGACAAAAACATGTATAATTTTACAACTTACGCTAATTACATTATAGGTAGTGAGTGACAAGAAAGAAATTATAGTAACTACCAAATTATAATAATAAGATAATAGTAGGTATGAATATTGATTTTAATATAACGCAATTTTAATGTAACGTTACATCATGACTTTTTTTAAGGCGGCAAACGTGGCCGAATGGTTACCTAATGGTTAGCAATCAGTGCTGGCCATTGAAACTCGCAATACCAAAGGAGTTGTAAGTGTATGACTGGCCTTTTGGGTGTAACTGGAAGAAGAAAGTGGAGAGGAGGTAGGATTGGGCCTCCGGTAACCTGACTCATACGGCTCAACACAACGCTGTGTTTGTTACAAGCCGGGTTTTCTGCGAAGCCGTGGTATCACTCCGGTCGAGGCGACCCATTCGTGCTGATACATGGCTCTAACTCACTCAAAACCACTTTAAAATTGTTTAAAACTTAGGTTTTTAAGAACTTATAATCCATTAGATATCCATAGATTTTGGATTACGATCGATTTTTAACATTGGCTATTTATTTTATCAGATTTTTCTATATCTAGGAAACTACGATAAATTAGATAACTACTGTAGAAGTATAGATAATTATGTTATTCTATTTTATCTAGAACCAATTAACAGCAAGCTACCTGCCGCTACCGCTCACTTATTTTCTTTTGATCTGATTATGTATTTTGTACTTAATCTAAAAACAATAATGTACCTACCTAACTGACTTTATGTTTGTTCCTTATTTTGATACGATGTTCGATTACGATTTGGTTTTCAGAAAAGGGAGGTTAATTAATTTAAAAATTTATTTCACTGGCATATAAATTGATTGGAATTACCGATTTACTAACGTAAATTAACTGAGTAAAGCTCAATTAGTTTAATAAGTCGCTACGGGAATCTTACTCATGAGTCACGTGTCCGGCGCGTCGACGACGCCACGCTGCCGACTTTACTATTTTCAACAAAATGACTTTGTGCCTTTGTTACTTTTCACCATAATATATGTATTCAGGTATATTTCATTAGTATTACCTACTCATTATTGTAACCAACTAAAAAGTAAGTATTTTTAAGAATATTCTTTTATAAATAGTATGTATGTATGTAAGGTGTATCATATATATTTTTATATATATGTTTGGTATATTTAATTCAATTCGCTTGCTTCTTGCACCTGCCACCAGATTATCTCTGCATCACCCAAAGGTAGACTGGTAGAGAATGCTCATTGCATTAAGTCCGCCTATGTACAGCGTTTTGTGCATGAAGTCTCAAATAAATAAATAAATAAATCATCCTTGTTTTAGGTGAGAGGAAAATCATCAAATGACTTCTCCAGCCCAGGTTGGGTGGGCCAAAGGTGCCTCATTAACCTTGCCCCACAACCCCGGCTGAACATGTTTAAATAAAATTCTGGTACTGATAATACCGTTACGATAACAGCGAGCCCTACTGCCCGATCCTCGGATACACCCTTCGCCATCCAGCAAAGGCTCTTGGCCTTGGTCAGGCATGGTCATAAACTGGATTTGTTCCTTTTGAAGCATTTTCCCATACCTAGGAGATTCTAATTCTTATTTTCTGGGATTGTTTTTATTTCATATTTCAAAAATACATGTTCCTTGGGTAAGTAAAAACTAAACGTAAACGATGTAGTAAGTACGCAAACAAGTCAACCATATTATAAGTTGTTTCTTGTTCTGCCGAAAAATTCAAGTATTTAAATATTTACTAATAAATTGAATTATATAACATTACTTCCAGTGGTTGTATGATTTTTGGCAAAATGTGTAATTTCAGAACGTCTACTTAAAAGTCTTATGATTTACGTCTTTGTCAAGTGACAATGTCAACGTCTTTCAAACGTTTTATGTTATATTTTTAGCATGACTTTATCATCCTCTCTTTCGATCTAATGAGTTTGTAGCTGCTATTTTTCTCGCTCTTTCAAAGTAAACTAAAAATACAATCAGCTTTGTACCTGGAACATGATACTTATAACCTAAAATTATTTTATTTTGAGTTGAGAAGGATTGAAGGAACTTAAATTAGTTCATATTATTTTTATTCGTTTGTGTTGTTAGTTCTATTACAAAAAATGAGGTTACATCCAATATTATTCGCCGGCCCCCCGAAAAGTGGTGCAAGGAGCCCCCAGAGGGAGCCGATTCCATTCAAAATGTTGTTGCCATTGCAACTTAAAAAGACGGTCTCTGGTAAAGGAGACAAGCTCAAAGAAGCTGCTTGTATGCAAGAAATGGCTGTTATGTTTGCATGCTTCAAAAAGGCAGATTTCGATCAAACTGAGTGCTTAAAGGAGGTTGCTGCTTTCCAAGGATGTTACAAGGAATATAATGACAGAATAACCACTCAAAGAGAACAGGGAAAGAAAGGTATCCTCGTCCCAGGAGAGAAAAAACTAACACATAGACAACTAAATCAGCTATTGAAGAGCTTCCCTCCACAAAAATAGATTGAAATAACATAGTTTGTATTTGTAATTTATAATTAAAATAGAAATAAATAGTAAATGTTATATTTGCTGTTGTTTACTTTCTTGTAAAGGATTTGGTTCCTTACATAATAATTGTTCATTTAACATTAATATAAAATATTGTAAAAGCTCCTCTTTGTACTATACAAAGAGGAGCTTTTCCACAATCTATAGTAGCTATTCTATTATCATACATAAAAGAACTGAAGTCAGTGTGAAGTGAGTAAAGTCAATGATATTATTCTATGAATAAATTGACTACTATCATGGAATTATCTTAGCAAGCAAATCACACTTTGATTTTGTTTGTTGACTATCATGTTATCAGGGTAGTTTGCTGTATGGGTATATTCCTGTTGTCCCTAACATGTTTAGCCTTTTTATATATTTTATATTCCCCTTCGGCACCAGTGGACTTAGACCTACTTTTGAAAACACATTGGAACAGTCTGAGAAACTTCAAAATAATTTAACAATAGTTTCTTTCTCTATTAGTGGGGATCCAATGGTTAAGTAGGTTGTAAATGTAAATGAAAAAATGTACATTATTTTGTTTGTTTTGGCGATTTATTAGAGAAATGTGTTGTCTAACTGTGGTGGACTAAACAGAGAAATGTGTTGTCCACCTGACCACAGTAAGACAACACATTTCTCTAATAAATCGCCTTTAGTGTAGGTACCTGGATATCTGGTTATAAAGAAAGCTTTTTTTTTGAGAGGAAAATCATCATGTGATTGCTCTTGCCTCGGGTGAGATGAGAGTGCCAAACTCTTAAGTAAAATCCCCACATTTATTTTCCTGCTCGAGGCTAAAACTGCGGTGCTTTATTGCGCTTGCCCTGCAACCCTGGCTGGATTCTGATTGAAGCTGGGAGATAAATTATGGTACCTAGATCTTTGCCAACTACCTTGGGGATACCTCACATTAAGTGTGGTTGTGTTCACTTTGCTTTTGAGTTATGATAATAAAAACAAATGATTGTTACACTGTTCTCACATAATTGAACCAACTGATTAATGTACCTAAGAATCTGCAGTATGTGAAACTGAATTAAAAAGAAGTGGAGTTTCTTGGTCATTCTTCTCCATCAGAATCAACATTTGGGAATGAGCAAATAACTTCACTAAATAGACTGACTGACAGACTGATACTTTATATCTTTAAAATTTTGCTTGACGTTCAAAAGTGCTTGTAAGGGTCTAACTGAAATAAATTATTTTGACTTTGACTCTGACATAAATGGTAGCTATAGCAATTTTTCAACATTCAATGTATTTCAAATAAATAATATCAAAGCATCAGTATACTTAGTCTTGGAAAAAAAGACAAAATGGTTGTAATTTCAATGTATTAGTAAAAATAAACAATTACAATCTTAGGTCATAGGAAATATAATATTAAAGTGTAAAAATAGCACTGTTATCACTTAGGGGCAGTGTGCAGCCATTGTGGAGAGGACACTTGGAGCTCAATGCGTCGCACTGTGATCAGCTCATCATCAATCTCATGGATGTTGTAGAATCTTTCCAATTGCTCTATAGCTTTGTCTTCAAGCTGGAAAAGAAATAAACACAAATAACAAATGGTTGTCTCACTTATAATGCTTTTCTAAGAGACAAAGGTCAATTATTAAAAAATTAAGTGCGGGAGAGCCATGCTTCGGCGCTAATGGGCCGACTGGAGTGATAACACGAAATACCAGTGTGAAAGATAGAAAGAAAATATTTATTTGTTAAACAACACTTATGTTGTTTTGCCGTGTGGGTGAGGTAAATGGAGGCTCAATTCCTGATCCCCAAAAGGCCGGTAAAGCACTCGTAATTCCTCTGGTGTTACATGATTCCATAGCGGAGCCCATTGCTTACCATCAGGTAATCCGTGTAATCGTTTGTCGAATTATTCCATGAAAAAATAATTTATTACAATTTGATAAACATGAAATATGGTTTTACAGAAGGTATTTTATTATCATACCTGTGTCATGAGAAGCGGTTTGGTCATTATTCTTGAGTGATCCTCCTTCTGCTTCTTCTGATCCGTCAATATTTTATTAAATTCTATAGTTTTCGTTTTAGGACTGCTACTGGCAACAGGTGGCTCGCAGATCTTCCATGGATTCTTAGGTTTTTCAGGTGGACTACCTACATTTACCTTATTAAAGAAATCATCAATAGTTTGAGATGATGTTTCCGTGCCTTGCATGGCCAACTTTTTGCGTTGTTTCTGAGATAATTTTGGTCCCACGTGACTTATAACTAGGTTACCCTGCGTACCCCAAATGGATTCAGAGGTAGGGGATTCTTTAGGAGAGACCGACATCCGCGATGAGGTCGGCAATTTTTCTATTGTCATGGCACTTGAAGAACTACTCTTCGTGAGTTTCGTAAAAGATTCGGAGGGAGCTTCATTCATTATATCTTTAGCAATGTTTATAGCCTTGAGTCTGGCTTGGACGACTTTCAGCTGTTTCTGCTGTGAAGATGGCACTTCTGTCCATTTCTCCTGCTTATCTTTAGTTCCTTTCTCTGTATCCTTGGATATCTTGCTTAAAGACAGTGTTATATCCTTGGATGTATCATTAGATAGGTCCAATGACGTCACTGAGCTCACAGATTCGTACCTCATTCTCTCCTTTTCGCTCTCTGTATATTCAATCTTCTTTCCTTTTTTCTTCTTACTAACTATTTCTATGATACTATCATCCTTTTTGTATTCCTCGTCAGTGAGTTCTAGGTTGACTGGATAGTTTTTGGCGAATTCTTCTATAATTTCGTCTGAGGGTGCATTGAAGAAAGGAGTGATGACCCTCGAAGACATGATGGGGTTGAATTTGCAATAATACTGAGTGATGTCGTCAAGTAAAGTTTCTTCTAGTAAGTCTAAGGCCCGATTTTCTAAGACACTATTCAAATTAAGCGCAATAAACTCCATACAACATTGTTTTAGCTGTGTTGCGTTGTATGTATGTCCAAACTGGCAAAGTTCCGCACAGTTTTTCAAGTTGATCAAGTTCGCTAGAGCGATTTCACACATCTCTCTGAGTCGCGTTATGAATAATTGATCAGCGACTATAAGTAGATTGCAGATAAAATCGATAGAATCACTGTTTTCTATCTCTGGGCACGAGTCTGTGTATAAGAAGTTGATGACAGGCAGTAAGATCCCGTAATTTATTGGAAGAGTCACTTTTGATAGCATCTTGCTCTGTAAAATAATAAAATAGAGTTTAATAAAAAATAACATTCAAAATTCGGTTTGCGCAAAGTTGCGCAAGAAAATTTATATTTGCGCAAACATTGAGATCTTTAAACCAATCATAATTATTGTTTTTAATATAGGTTAGTGTTGCCTGATTTTGAGATAAAGGATATTATTTCCAAAAATATCTAGTGTAAGCCAAATTGTTTAAAATATTGTTATTGTAACTCTCGTCTTATAGCATGTCGTATGTAAACTAACCTCAGTCCAGGAGTGCATAAACATCCCTTGGAAGTAGTCGAGACGCGCAGCGAGCACACACTTGTGTGCGGGGATGGCGGCCCCATCTTTGCACACTACGTTAGTATCCACCAGCTCAGGGAAGGCCTCCCGCCTCCAACTTGGGGCAGGGTTGCGAGAATAGTTGCTACTTGCACTCTCTTTCAGACATATCGACCCGTTCTTGTAGCTGAGGAAAAAATACAAAACTAATCAATATGTGTGACATTAGAAAATGGGTATGGGTGAGCTATTCTTAAACAATGGTCACAATACCATATTACAATTCATGGCTGTGATGTACAAAGCAGTTCGTCAGACAAACCTGCAGTGAAAAGCAGTTCGTCAGAAATCTGTTCGAAATATTTTATATAATAGGTCGGCAAACGAGCTTACTGTTTAACTGATGGTAATGCAATCAGGGCCGCATTGACCCATTGACACCTTGACACAAATGTCAATACGAGTGCTTACCGATCTTTTAGGGATTTTTAAGCACAGCTCTTCCACACTCAAATAATGAAACCAAGGAACAAAAAATCGATAAAAATGAGAAATACATACATATCGTATTCTCTTTCTATTTGCGCCACGCGTTATCAACTAAAATGTTATCTGCGAGTATTATCTATTGTGGAACTTTTGTCTAAAAGCTATTAGAGATAACTTACTAGAATTTATCGAGTAGTTTATGCAGCGCCATGACCTGCAGCCGCTTGGCGGTGGCCTGCACCAGCTTGACGGGGTCGCAGTATAGATGGGTGCGCGGCGGAGTGTCCGTGTTGCGCCGGTTGCGCTGACGCTTCGCCTTGTCGCTCTGTTTGTTGTACACCTCGAATGCCGATATCTCTGACGGATTTTCTGTTGAGATAATAAATACTTTTACTACAGATATTTGCATAACACGTGTAGTTGTGTCGTGTTTTACAGTCCTTTTTAATTTATTAAAAATTTTCATAATACGTTTGAATTATGTTGTATTTTTGTATGTACTCTTGTATTTAATGTTTTCTGAGGATAAAAAAGACGATCAAAACTCAACCAGGTAATGCTTACATTCTTGATAGCATAAAGTACTTAAGATATTCGCGAGTATTTAGACTTACTAATTCAAAAATTTCAATATTTCATTGTCGTTATACACTTTAATTTCTGACCTCAAAACGATCCTCATTTTGTTCTAACAGGTCCAAAAAAGGCGCAATTTTTCCCTATATTCCAAAACCTTAAAAGGCCGGCAAGGCAAATCCTCTGTTATTGCGCATGTCTATAGGTGCCATTTTTGCTTACCATCAAGTAATCTCACTAATTTGCCATCCTATTCTTTAAAAATCATCAACAAAGAGATCACTTACCGATCACCTCCAACTCTTCATCAGCTTCCTTATCCTTCTTGACCAGCTCTTCCTTTGTTATCTTCAGTCCACATGGCCCTAACTCGGCCACGTCACAGGAGCCAGTATACATGTACTTCATCACCCTCTCAAAGGCCTCAGGGTGCACATTCTCCAATGTAACCTCTGGTTTGTCTCCCGGGTTGGTCTGGGCAAGTTTCTCTTGGTACAACTTGTATAGATGGTCGCTATTTGAGGCTATTATGTACATATGTGCGGGGTACGATTTTGGGCCGACCTGTAAAAAATAGTTTAGGGTGAATTTAAGATTATATATACATGTTTAAGTTATTATAGAAATGTCTCCTCAGTGTCCTTGTAGAGTTTAGACTACGAGATATATTTTAATCAAAATGTCCTAAACTTACATATGATGGTTACCTTATCTAAAAAAAATTAGCATAAATAAATAAATAAATAACAACGAGAAGTGATAATGACATGGCGGAGTTCCTGAGCCGGAACTTTTTTCGGTACGTCCCGTACATAATGGATAATATGGCATGTCCATATTAATATATATCTTATCGCAAGTATATTAAAGTAATGTACCTACTCCGACCTCTGATAACATACCTATAAAAAATTTCGACAAAATTAGTAAAAAAAAGCATTTTTTAGTAATTATTTAGTAAACTAAATGTCAAAAATAATTACCTACCGAATTTTGCGCAAAGTAATTTATAATCGGAAATTGGATACAAATAAATCATCACAAAGTATTTTTTTTATAAATAAACGCTGCAAATTAATTTAGTAATCGTTATTTAGCATTCCTATCAGATAATTCAATCTGGCAACTCCATAGACTCAAAATAGTTGGTATTAAAATATTGATAATATGACTTTTAGCTACCTTAAAGATCACATCGTGTAGCAGATCATCTTCGGTAGCGCATTCCCGCAGAGATTCCATATGTTTGGACATACTGGTTGGCGATAATTCTGGCAGAGAGCGAAGACCGCATGTCGGTTTTATCTACAAACAAAAAACACATTACACATACCATTATTTGTTTAATTTGCTATTTTTGACATCCTTCTTATCTGACTAGCGACTTTAAACTGAGAATTATTTGTTACATTATGATATGCAATCGGCGCCGTTTACTTACAAGAAGAATTACAAGTGAATTGCCGGCCGATTGAGAGAGGGATTGGGTCTCCGTTAACCGCACTCATACGTTGAATCACAATGCTGTGTTTAACGCCGGCTTTTTATATAGCCGTGTGTATAAATCCAATCGAACGGACCCGTTCGTGCCAAAGCTTGAGTTTTCCACACTTAAATATTGTGAAACCGGCGATCAAGAAGTGTAGGGGTTATGGCAAATTCTTCAGGAGGAAACCAGTAATATTTGTTGTTTTGTTTTGATAATTTTTGACCCTGCTGGATCTTTTTGCGCTTATGTCGTTAAGTCAGCTCAAGATTTTATTTTTTGGATGCAAAGATGTTTAAATGGAATATATATGAATATTATCTGTTAAAAAAATGCGGGTTTTCTTAAATACCAGATCTTAAAAACAAACCTGTAAGCACGCAAAATTGAGTCCTTCGCTGTCCACAGCGATAGACACTGCTCTATAAATATTCGGTATCTTCGAGATCCTCACAGACGTACAGTCATCCTTTTCTAAAAACTTCACAAGCGGGGACTTGTTGTCTCTTTCCTTCTCTTTTTTGATTGGCTGCGGCACCGGGGTGGGCGTGGTTTTGCGAGAAATCGTACCAACGAAAGCTTCGCCGTATTTAGTTGTAAAGTAGACAGCGTCGTGCGTGAGTGCTACGTGAGTTATTATAGTTTGGTGGACCAGGCCGAAGACACATCTAGAATTAATAAAATAGTTTATTAATAAGTTGTTTAATTCAAAATAATGGAGACGACTTGTTTATTATACGGCCCAGTCCAGTTGGCAGGGAACAAAATTAATGAAATAATAGTAGTATTATAACAGTTTTAATAAGATTCATTTATATGTTTCTGCAGATACAAATATTTTATAATCAACCATTTAATTACCAGGAACCATATTAATAATATGCGCTTACACATTTTACGATTCATTTTTATGACATCGTAAGCTTATGAAGCATAACTCAACAACACTTGGACCAATTTTGCCAATTCTTTTTTGTTGTATTTTTTATTACCAGCCAAAAAATTATAAGGACCTTCTCGACTTTTGAATTATAGGAAACCTTTTGGAACTGGAGACTTATTCACTAATGAAGTGGGAGAATGATGATTTATTGACGATTGTTTTACCTTGTAAGTTTGTTGGTGGTGTCCTGCCATATGAAGAGCTGTCCCACGTTGGTAAGTAGGAGCACTGTGACGCGGGAGTACGAGCCCTGGTCGTTCACCTTCGCCTCAACGCACACTTGGCGCAGATTAATTTGTCTGTAATGTCATATATAAGATAAGTTCAGGTTTTACTTTGACCCAAACATTCAAACCACAGAAAACCGAACACTTCATAGAAAACCGGCGTGAAACAACCACAGCGTTTTGTTTTGCCATTTGAGTCCCAATCGTTCTCCTCTCTCAATCTCTAAATCTCCAATCCCTAATCCCCAAAAAGTTGGCAATGCACTCGTAACTCCTCTGTTCTTGCTGTGTCCATGGGCGGCGTTGATTGCCCAATCCTAGCATAATTTTATCAGATTGGGCAGCAAACGAACAGCCATATCATCTATTGGTAAGCAATCGGTAACTCTTGAACACTCCAGACACTAGAGGAGTTAATAGTCCGTTGCGCCATAGGTAACCACACCAAGGCAGTGGAACATGACATTTGTTTTTTTATGGTCGGTGAACCGGGAGACTGCGATCGGCGGCCACCTCAGGACATCCCACCACTCCAATGGGAGGAGGAGTTACGCAAGTGCGTAGGAACCCGGCGTTCTGGGTTTTTGAGGGCATGTGGAAGGAATCGGGCCACCGGTATATTTTCTCAAACAGCGAAATCGTATCGCGCCGGTTTTCTGTGTTTCGATCAGGCCTTGTAAAAGTTGTTAAAAGAAATATCTAAGTATAATATTGCTTACTTGATAGCAATCTTCTTGCAGATGTACTTGTGTAGCAGATACACATCGCCGCGGCTGGTGGTGATTACTGTAGCCGCGTCCGTCGCGTCAACTAGTTGAATACCCGCTTCTTCCTTGTTATTCATTGATATAGCCACCTGTTGGGGAATAAATATATCACTACATAGTATAGTAGTAGTCAATCTCCCTATGTAAGCTTATATCTTTAAAACTACGCAACTACGGATTTTGATGAGGTTTTTAATAGATAAAAAAAGAAAAGCCGAGGCGGGTCGCTAGTTTATTATAAAACCTACACGCTGGGAACAAAAAACAAATCATTTTCTAAAATGCAAATATCAGCTTTTACAGTTTAATAAGTTTCCACTGCTTGACGGCAGATGGCGCTAATGTGGCGTAAGGTCCTATTTGTCCAAAAGAGAATTAGCTTGTTTAGGAGAGAATCAACTACTGGACATTACTTTTTTGACAGCAGCAGTAATTAGAAAAACAATCCTCATATTTCGAGTATAAAAAGTCAAGTCAAGTCAAGACACTCAAAAATCTACACAAAATGAACTCACCCGCTTCGGTGCAGGGACGAACTTGTCCTCATTGGAATGTCCCAACTGTCCGTTATTGTGGCCCCATGTGTACACGGCGCGGGTGTTCCACACGACGGCGTGGGCCTTCGCCCCGCACACACCGAGGGGTTCCGACAACTTCAGCAGGGGCTTCACTGACGCCAACTTTATTGAGGCCGGGGCCTTCGTCGTGGACTGGCTCACATTGTCCGTACTGTTCAGCGCGTATTGAAGTATCTAGGGAATGAAATGTGGGGAGTGAAGTTGAATGTTTTTGGTAACAGAGTTGAATTCGCGATGGAAAACTCATTAAGGTATACTAAATTTAAACAATATTGGTACATCTTTTTATCTAAAAGTAATCAAAAAATGCCAACAATAAGGTATTTACCTACATTGATGGTATATAGTGAACTAATTTTAAATTATCTTTGTATGTCTTTTATGTATCCTCTTTAATATATAAAGAGATTAAGATTATTTACCTTTAATTAATTACATAAACCGCTAGTTCGAGAATCAGTCTTATCACTTGATGGAAAGCACCACCAGAGGAGTGCTGCTGCCTTTCAGAAATTACAATGAAGAAATAGGCCTTCAGTAACCTCATTCACAAATCACAGGGCAACAAATAAATTAAGAAGTGTGGGATAGCTAAGCTTCGGCACGAATGGGTCGGCTCGACCGAAGTGATACCACGGCCTCACAGAATACCGACATGAAACAACCACAGCGTTGTGTTTCGCCGTGTGAGTGAGGTTACCGGAGGCCCAATCCCTCCCCTTCCCCTATCCCTTCCCAATCCTTACATCCACAACCCCCATCCCCAAAAGGCCGGCAACGCACTCGTAACTCCTTTGGTGTTGCGGGTGTCCATAGGCGGCGCCGATTGCTTACCATCAGGTAATTCGTCTGCTCGTTTGCCGACTTATACCATTAAAAAAAAAGTGTTGTTACTCGCCAAATCGCCGATCTAGCTAGCCTATTCCTGTTAAAGCATTTCTCTTTCTTGCATTTAATTATCTAAACACACACAAATAAATTATCACGTACACCCCTAGGATGCTATCCCGATCGTTTATTAACGGCCTACAAAATTAACATAAAACAGCACCAACACATACCGTTCCACTTTCCATCAAGAATATGGTGGAGTTGAGCGTGATGGCGATGGCGACGCAGGGTTCCGCTAACTTGAGCGGCGTGGGGCGAAGCGAGGTCGCGTGCGGGCCTCCAGCGCGGGCCTGCTGGCCGCAGCACCACGCCTCACCCTCGCCGGATAACCACACACTGTGAAACTTGCCTAAACAAACCTGGAATTCGGAAAAAGTCATTGAAGTACACAATTCTAAATGAGCAAAAGTAACTGCGAAATTGTAAACCTCTGGGTGTGATGTGCTTCAAGTGTGAAGCAATAGTTTCAAGAAGACGCACCTACCGCTACTGTTTCTCCACCACCCAAAGGTAGACTGGCAGAGAACGCCTAAGGCGTTAAGTCCGCCATTGTACGTTGTGCAAGAAGTGTAAAATAAATAAATAAAATAAAATAGTTTGATAATCAGATATTTAAAACAGAACAGAACCTATGTTATCGATGGATTGTGTAGCTTTTACTAGAATCTGAATCATATTCAACAGTGTCGGAAAAGGTTAATGACATCGTTATCGAAGTGACAAAAAAATTACAGACACGATAGATAAATAAAGCAATTTATTTTATCCAAACTAAACAAATCAAAATGAAACAATAGATATTATAACAAAACGTTTATTAACCATTACATCTATCGCCTGACGCTATGTACAGTGTGCGCTCGGTAGTCCTCGGGGCGGCTGTATGCGCTCGGAGCGAACGAATACGACTGGAAGGGGTTCACAGCCGACACCACCTTCACCATCCGCTGGGGCTGCTCCTCCACATACACCATTTTACTCTTAGTCGGGTTCAGCGGAATATTTTTTTGTGAATCTTCCCGCGCTTTCGAAGGCAACAGCTCTGTAAATCGACCCGCCATCGCTCCCAACAATGGCTCCCCGCGCAATATACAGTATGCGAAAAGTATCACAATCATGTAAAACAATCCCAAAAGGATAATGTAGAATATAATTTTCCCTTTGTTCCTGACTATCGCTGAGTGTAAGGCGTCGAAACACCCGACGTCGCTGTGAGACAACATGTCGGGGTCGAGACTCTCCGAGCAGTTTGTCGACACCGGCTCCAGACTGGTCACGTTAGCCAGCTTGCAGCACTGGATCGGATATACTTTCGTAGGATTCACAGTCTGCCAGTTAGATATAGAAAAGTCTCTGTAATCGACGGCTCCACAGCATTCATGTTTAATCATGACATAGTCCCACATGAACGTGATAAAATCATTTTCCTTTCCGTAATACTTTTGTATCGTAGACTGCATGTACTTCCGAGTGCTATCGTTTTTAGTGTAAATATTGTAGATCCCCGATATGAAGAATATCCAAAACGAGATTACTGACATTGTAGTGACGAGGAATATGTACGACTTTATGGCGCATTTCACCTTGCATCCCGCGCCCAGCACTCCGCAACACGATGTCATCATGGCCAGCGCGGCTAAAGGTATCAGTAAAGACGTTAGAGGGGTCACCCATAGCTTCAAATTGACGAATTTGGCGATAGAATCCACCGCAGAGGCACTGGTTACAGAGGAGTTTACATCCTTGAAGAACTCTGTGTTGACGGCGCACCAGACGCAAATCACGAACGCGATCAGACCGCACATAAAGGACAGGATATTTGTGAAGCCCAGACATGTCCGGGGCAATCCAACTGAATGCATATCTTGTTCTTACTTGACCAACTAACTAAAATGTATCCTCAAAATTAATTGAAATGAAAGTATAGGTTATCTAAAACTGCCATTTAGTACTTGTGACGCTGTCAGATATAGTAAAGATACAGGCCACTTGCTTCTGGGTAGCAAACTTAGAAGCGTGTAAGGAGGTTGGTACCTACTTGATTTAAAACTAGCCAAACAAACATCTGTTGAGAGAAATGCAAGCAGAGACTTAAATATTAGGCTTATATATTAGGGTATTGAAGAAATTATCCCTGTTCGACCCGAGCTCACAGTAGATTCCTAAGTAGGTAATATTGCTGAGAATTTTGATTATTTCATTTTATTTCCAAAATTAATTGGTTAATTAAGAAAATGATGTATCTTAATAATGATAAGACATTCTCTCTCATAATAGATAACACGGGGACATGTTTTGTTAGACTATTACATTCAAACTGATGACAGTGTGAAACTTGACGAGACAATAGCTCATTGGCTACGGTGATTTGTCTGAGGCCGCAGATCTACACAAGTTCTGCCATTATTACATTTTGTATAAACATCTTTTGCTTGCTACTGTAACTATGTAGGTATGTCGCAGCCAATTATATCAATTAGCCATTCAGTTCACGGCCTGTTTTAAGAAATGATATCGGAGTACAATCCTGCTCAGCCGTGCAAAAGAAGGAACAGTGTGGTTTTTGGGTAGTAAGAGTCGCCCTGGGTGAGCGAGAAAGACTTTTAATGATTTCCCCTATAAGTACAATTCTGTTAGTGGTTTGTTTCTTAAGACAATTCGATTTCGGTTTCTACGTGGGTCGCTATTATTGCGCTTGCAGCCGTAACCCCGGATGGAAATTACCCCTATTGAGCCCCATTTGCGGTGGACTGTTGGCTTTTTGAGACGCGTGCTGAACGCTACGCGTTTTACGCTTGGGTCTGGTTCTGGAGAACTACCCTTGATCGCCGTTTAGCAGATCCGTGTTTACGGTGGCCGGAGATCGTCGCACGATCCCCGTCGCCCAGTGTCTCGCGTGAGGAAGATAATTACCGCACGCGCTCCGCCTCCTTCATAGCGACCAGATTGAGACGTCTTTTAACTAAGGTAAGAGAAGAAGAAGAAGAAAAGAAGAAAGAATGACGATGATGATGGAGAAACAGTGGCAATGAAAACCACGTACGGTGTATGGGAAAAATATTTATATAGTTTTCATTTTTTTTTTTTTGTTAAAGGGACAAAAGAAATCCATCGTCCTATCTGTACTAAATATATAAAGAGGTAAAGTTTGTAAGTTTGTATGTAAGGAGTAATCGTTGGAACCGCTTATCGGATTGCCAAAATTCTTTCACTGATAGATAGCTACAATGTTCCTGAGTGCTATAGGCTATAAAACATCACGCTACGGTCAAATGGAGCTGAGCAGGGTGAAACCGCGCGAGAGTAGCTAGTCTATTAGATCTAGCTATTATCAGTCTACAGAGACAAGAGATACAGCCTGGACAATAGGGTATTAATAAGGTTCCCGATATTATCTAATGGGTACAAAACTCTTAAAAAAGAAATAAGTTTTTTTTTTCATACAGAAAAATATAGTAACTTACTTGTTTGACGCAAGTATTAGCTCTGTTGAAACAGGTGAGTAGTTCGGGCGAATTTCTTTGTTGTTGTGTGCCCGTGCCGAGGGTGTAGTTGCAGTTACTGCCCCACACGTACACCTCGCTCGGCTGGCTGCCTTCGTGTTTGTACATGTATTGGCGGTCCAGCATCGAATGTTCTAGAGCCTTGTAATCATCTTTGTCCACTATGTCCGTGTTTACACCTTAGAAGAAAGGAAAATAAGTGATGGCGCTAAGGATCGTTTTTGATGAGCTCTGTAGTTTCAATCTACCCCTACAGAAAAAATGTTTTGACTTTCGACTACTTGGTAACTATTTTATCTATTTTTTTTAACGTAATAAGTTATACTAGGCGCGTGTGTTTAAAAATATACATATAGGTAACACATAGACTAGGAACAACAATCTGTGGAGTGTGAAAGAATTGAACCTATGTAATATTGCCCAGTCAATCATGATATTCATCTTATATTGTGAACACAACAGATACTTAATGGTTTCTAAGATCTTGAACGACTAACGACTTTTTGACGATACTCTACGTAAACTTCTAAACTTTCTCTTTCTTTGTTATCAAAAGAAGCCTTTTATCAACTTTTAAGTCAGAAATATCCAAAAACATTATTAAAATTTTACCTATCTTCATGAGAGCGACGGCTGCATGGATCTGCCCGTAGAACACACTGCGATGTAGTGGGGTGTACCCAGATTCCCGGTCGCGGGCGTTGATAAATGCTATGGAGGAGTGGCGGATCAACCAGTCCATGAGGGCAATGCGGCCGCGAGACGCCGCGGTGTGAAGGGCTGTGCGACCCTGGGGTAAATAATGTTTTTTTTTCATCATCTAAGAGATATTAAAGTGAATTTAATGCCTTCGCTTTTGTTAAGAGCATTAGAAAACTGCTTATTACACATTCATAGAGCAATTTATATTTTTATAGAACAGACAGCTCTCACTTTAAAGTATCAAAGGGTTAAACTTATGTTCTTAAATTGAAGTTAAGTATTTAATAGTGAAAATTATTAATCGAATAACTAATTTCTTTATTGTATAACAAAAATATTATTATTATTATTTGTATGTTCGTTTCTGTTCACGGGATCATAGGATCCCGGACCTTTGGAAGGCGTACGAGGGGCCGAAGCCAACTCGCAGAGGCCCTTTGAACAGTTTTAATCTAAATGTGATGGGACATCAGCCGGCAATTATCCCTGTTTGCACTATGAAAGTGCACCCAAGGATAATCCCCGGTTGATGCAGGACTATTGCGAATTGTGGTAATAAACGAAAGGGTTATGGGTATGGGTTGCTATGGACTGGTGGATATGATTACTATGGAAATACTATGGCCCCTGCCCCTGACCAATATTGATACATACGGATAAACAGGCAGGGGGTGACTGGCAAACTCAATTAATGGGCCCCCGGAAACGGCCGCTAGCATGAAGCGACACAGAGGCAACATACGTTGAGCTGCTTGGGGAAGGAGAGGCATCCCACGGCTATCAGAGCAATCCCGGAAGTACGGTCAAGACCCCTACCAGCACCTTACTGAGATACATCCTTCCCCCGAGTCTCCTTCAACTCCTACTCTTGCGAATCTCCACTCAAGCCAGCCAATTAAGGCAAGAATGAGGTAAGAGGGCTTGTTCTTCATCAGTTTTCACTCCAGCTCGTCACGAAGACTAACCGGAGATGAAGAACAAGGCACCTCCCGGGAGTCAGGTCCGTGGGGTCGCCACTGCCCAACAGCTCGCCACAAGCTGCCTTGCGGATATATTATTATTATTATTTCTATCAAACTTACTGTAGATATCAGTAAACTCACCTCAAAATCGAATGCCTTGACAAAGTTGGCGCATGTTCCTTTAATAAAGCTGGCTAGAGCTTGATCACTTATAGACCTTTTTGTTATAGCACTGGTCAGTGCTTGTCCATGGCTCCGAGATCTGCACCGAGCAGTGCAATCTACTTCCGCTTTGTGCTTACTCATTTTGTACGGTTTAGTGCCGTAGTCAGTAAAATATATAGATTTTTCTATTGACTAGATTCTTGTAAATAATGCTTGGAGATATGTGAGTGATTATGCAATTAATGTCAATGAGCAAGTAACAGGTACAAAGTAGAACTCAGCTACGAGGTAGCTCCCGGAGGAGCTACAGCCCTTACTTTTTAACAGCACATGATTGTTTTGGTGGCAATCTGCAACAGAATTTATTAATAATAAAACAAATAGCATAAGTATTAATTTATTTCACGTCAGGGCTTCAAATGTAGATTAAATCATTAGTTAAATTCAGTTTAGTTGAGACACAATAATGGAAATACATGGAAATCACAATGCTATAGGGTCTTTTCCTTAATCTGGCAACATTCCTTGGCTGACAATATCAATTTTATTATTTTTGTAAATGTTAAAAAATTATATTGTCATAAATTTTCTTAACATTCAAGCCTCATTAGACCTATGAATATATGAATTCAAGCCTCATTAGACCTATAAAGTCTTTTTCAATAAATTCACAATCCAACATCAAATAAAACAGTACATTTCAAACCAGGAGTTCCAGAGATGAGCATGATTAAACACACAACTCTTAACTTTTTTTAAAATATGATTATAAATACAGACATAGATTTTAATATTTATCCATGTGTTTGCAGCTGTTTTTGTAAGATAAGATTTAAATGAGAAAATGAAAAAAGTTACATATTATTTATATTTATTAGTTTAACTTACAGGCAATAAATAATTGGTTAAGTTGCAAAACTAAATAATTAACAATGATTGTGAAATATCATATCATCCAGTTATCGAAAAAATAATTCTAGTACAATTCAACTTATAACTTATTATACTTCTAATATAAACAAGTGCTATTACTGATAATTATAGTTGCAAGTTCCTTTATAATTTATAACAGACTCTATTGTCTATTAGATAATAGTAATAATAGACTTGTGTCTATTCATACAAATAATAGTGTGACATAACTATGATTTTGAGTTGGGTATTATGTATATAGGTAATTAGTATACAGTTGATAAGACTGTATGCCTTTAAGTTTCTGTCATATCATATATCAATATAAAGATATAACAAATATAATTTGAAGTTCATGCTACTAGTCTTAAGGTCTCATTTCCATTATTAAGATCAAGTTTCATAATAATATTCTATAGTTTATTACAAGCAGACTACAGCTTAAATAACTAATTACTTTCCAAAGATAATAATACAACTATGGTGACAAAAATGTCGCGATAATAAGTAGGTATATACTTTAACATGTAAAGTAAGATGTAAAATCTGGTGTTTAACATGTTTCACAATAATTTTCAAAAATATGAAATTTTAAGTGCTTGTTAATATTGCATGAAACATGGTATGATATTTTTATGGCTAAGGAGGAACTAAATTTGTTTTTTCCAATCGTACTACTAACAGATTTGTGTAAAAAATACACATCCTTCAAGGTCGGACGATAGGTGACACCGGCTACGGCTAATCGGCCTTAGCAACAAGTATAAGATTTCAAAACCTTAGGATATCGCACAAACATGGAATACAGGAAGTTAATAACGTAATACATTACAAATATTAAAGTATTTTATAACAATTTACCTTTACAAGAAAACAGCTGTTTGAAGTATACTGAACGTGAAAGAGATGTTGCACACCATAATTTACGTCGAATAAAACAAGAAATCACACAGAAGCATACGCTACAGTATGTTATAAGAGCATAAAATAGTTTTATTAGAAATAGCGATAAAATAATAGAATAATGCGATTTTTCGCAAATTTCTTATTGACAGCAAGCAATTGACTGACAGAGAGCCAGACTAGGTAGACACGACAGTGACACTTTACTACATGTCACCAAACCAAATAGTATAAACTTTACATCAAAGAGTAATTTACTACAAGTTGTTTTAGTATAGGTACAATGTATATCTACGCTACATTTGCATTAATAAACAACAATTAAATCAAATACATCCAGGCTGGATCACTTTTTCAAATCTTTACAGGAGTGGTAGAAAAATATTATCTGATGTAAAACAAAAAAGAAAAGTATGTGACGTTATCTTTTTTGTTTTTCCCAGCTTTGATATCATTCAAATTCATATTCTTCTGCGTACACCAAATGTTGTAAAATTGTAATGAAGAATAGCCTTTTATCTGACTATTTATTATAAATATTTGGTAGCTATGTGTGTAAGGACTTTAGTCGTAAAAATGGGGTAACAGATCAAATTAAAAAAATATTCAATACTGTCATTAATGTCAGAAGAAAAAATTGACAGTGACAAAACAGAATCTACTGAAGTTATAAAATCGAAACGTAATTTTCATTTTGTGATTGTTACGTAAAAACACAACATGTTTCAAGTAATTCGTCGTACAGCGAGTTTATCTAAAACTCCGCTGTCTCGGTAAGTCTAGAAATAACATTTACATCACAATTGCATTTCAATAAATTATACGTAGAGGGTTATGCTATTTTGAAACTACTGCCAATGTTTTAGGTCTCTGCCTGCATTCTCAACATCATCGCGGCTAGATAGCCGTGATCCCGTGCGTCTACATGAGGCGCCAATGATTGACTCCGATCTTGCTATATCTACTCCTGATGAGATTCGACAAAAAAATCTTCTGGATTCAACCATTAAAGTTCCTGCAAAGGTATTTATCGTTTGTAAAAATGTAAACTCTTTTACACTTATATAGATCCATCAATTTGGAATTATGTGCGAAATCATTCAAATTGCTATGTAATTAAAGCTGCTTTTACATCCCAATGATGTATGAAAATGTTTGCAACTAAATTATGACTAGTCTAGTATTTTTAAGACATGGTATACAGGTATCATAATATTATTTATAAACAAGATCTACAGATAACATTGGACACATATTTTTTGTTGCTAATCTTCACCAAGATCCACTAGTATAACTACCACAAATCAAACATTTATTTGTGGACATAGGTATATATACAGAAAGGTCTTAAAACTAAATATGCAGGAGCTATATCTATGTTCTACCGATGGAATTGGTGTACACATATTTTAAAGAGTGTATGGATTATATTTTGCAATCAATTAATTTATCATTAAAAAACTCTTCAACTGAGTAATAAAATTACAATTTGCATCTGTATATACGAATATCTTGTTCATTTCTTATATATTTGGGTAGTTTGTTATAAGCACACTCTTGGTCAAATGGTTGGTCTCTTGAATTTTATTGTGATTATTTTTTTTTGTAGTTTATGCCCTAAAGTTTAGATCTAAGTGAATGTATTGTAGTCTAGCTATTAGATCGATCAGATCTTATGTGTTACTATTAATACTTACTTACATTAAATTAAATTAGTGTTTTATATTGTTTTCCAGGTGGACTTGACCCCTGTGAGCGGAGTTCCTGCAGAGCATATCGTCACTCGTCGTGTGCGCATCTACCAGCCTCCCAAAAATGCTATGCAGAGTGGCACCAACAATATCCATCATTGGGAAATGGAGTTTGATAACCGTCAACGCTGGGAAAACCCCTTGATGGGCTGGACATCTACTGGCGATCCACTTTCCAACATGAAAGTGGCATTCAAGTGCCCAGAAGAGGCTATTGAGCATTGTGAGAAGAATGGATGGAATTGGTACTTAGATGTGCCGAAAGTCCAGAAGCAATTCAAACCTAAGAGCTATGGAGTTAATTTCTCATGGAATCGCCGCACCAGGGTCTCCACCAAGTAAACATGTTAGTACAATTTCTCAATTGTCGCCATTTTACATAGACACTCTTGATTATATTAGTAAAACCTATTTAATATAATGATTTTAATTTAACTAAATTTTTTTAATTTCATATCAAACTAGAAGAATGTTGGTTAAATAAATAGTTGCTGTTGAAATTGAGTCTTTTTAATGTCACAATCTTGTGTATTTGTTATAAATAGATAATTAACACATTCAGTGCCCCCGACGCACCTGTGCGTTCTATACATTAATGTATTGAACGCACAGGTGCGTCGGGGGCACTGAATGTGTTAATGGATAATATTTAAGGAATAATCTTAAAATTTCCCAGTAATAATATAAATATTAAGTAGGTATTCAACAATCTTAGTAGAATATTGAGATTTTCAGAATTTTACCACATACAGTGTGTAAGTTTCAATGCATTATCCTTTTACAGTAGTAGCCAAATGGTAAAGATAGAAACATTCTATGAGTTGTCATGATTGTTTGTCTGCTTGTGATACTGATAGGTATGTTTTATTAATTTGAAACTATGAACCATACTTTTGAAATTTGGTAAGAAGATATATTCTGTTACCTACATTAACAATTGGGGTTTAAACTGATACTGAAAACCTGTTTTTCGTGAAGTCTGTGTGTATGTGTCAGGTTGGTGTGGTTTTTATAATCAAACTAGCTTCGCACGGGTGCAATTCTGATACTAATTGCTCCACTAAACCTCTACTCTGCCGGTAGGTATATAAGACACAATAGAAAGTACATTGTGTCTCACTTAGATCTTATTTCTTATTATTTTATATACCTTATTTCTTATTAAAAAAAAAAACGTTGCCCTACCCTAGGATTTTCTCCTGTGTCGTGGGTGCGTTTACAAACATACAATTTCACATACCTACACATCACACCTAGTCCCGGAACTCATGGATCACACAAAGAGTTGTTCCGCGCGGGAATTGAACCCGCAATACGTTGCGTGGCAGCCGGTTGCCCAGCCACCGCGCCAACTGTGCAGTCGAATCTTCTTATTGTACATATAAATAATAATCTTCAATCACTCGTATCTGACCGCATCAAAATCCGATGCGTAGTTTTTAAGATTTAAGCATATATAGAGATGTAGGCACAGATAATCGACTTAGTTTTATACTATGTAGTGATAACCTTGAGAAGGAGACTCAGACTCTACTGACTTCCCATTCACTCACCTTCTTTGGGCCGGGGCTGCAGTAGGTACATTATTGCACTAGATATGTACCTAGATCTTAAAAAGATATTGAGTTTTCTAAAGTTATTTGATTCATTAACCATGTTACTTACTGCTACACCTAGTTACATACGTTAATAATAAAAAAAAAGTTAATTGCCACTATCATATGGGCGAGGCCGACCCGCGCTTGGCAGCTTTTTTTTTACTTATCCTACACTATGGGTGATGGTAATTTGGATTGTATTTTTCTATGGGTTAAAGAGTTGAAAAATAAAAGTACAATATGTCTATATTTTCATTTAATCATAGTTTTCAACATGGTTAATTTATATTTTGTACCTCGGAAGAAAATCATATTTCGCAGGTCTCATTAAAGTTTTTATTTACATATCATACAATTTAAACATATGTTACACAAATTGAATCATGCCCAACACATGCTTTAAACATTGCAATTTCACTAACTACAATAGTTTTACATGTACATCGTACATATTATAAATTATAGTTAAAAGTAAACACTAACAACCTCTTCAAGATACAACTATAGATAAAATTATGAAAAATTATTGCATCTTCTTTCATTATGTACATAGTAATGAACAATATTGAGAAATATCTATTCTATTAGAACAATTTTCATGCTTCCTCCTTTTAGAGACGAAAATATTTAATTGTGAGTGTGGCTTGTTGAAATATCAAAGGGGTTCAAAGCAAATGGTGTAAAACTTGTCATAAAGCGAGGTGGTATAAATACTAATACGTTACAAGGTGGCAGCATCTAAAATTCTAGCATAATCATATACAGGCCTCGAAAATTCTAAGTAAAAATTAATTCAAAAGTTGGTCAAGAATATAATTAGTAGGTAAATTGAATTTTTTTTATTCGAACAAAATTAACTTTTGGTCCTTGCTAAATTGGAAAATATTAGGGGGTTTAAAATGTACCTGCTCAAGTAGTATACTTCTAGAGAAATTTTAAAATTCTTTTTAAACTTTTCTTTTAGAAAAAAAGCTAATTCTATAGTTATTAGAACTATTTAAAACCACCGCATCAACTTCTTTATTTATTGAACGTTTTATGATTCTCCTAAGTAAATTCTCGTCATAGTTGTAATATCGGTTCCAAAAGTGATTAATGGCGCTAATTGATCCGCCAACAAATAAAAAGTTATCACTTTTCGGGCCGATTGTACATAAATGCAGCTAAAATATAATTCGAAAGCACTTGGTGCGCCTATATTAGCAACTCGTTAACATTATTAGAAGCTAATGTTACAACTAGAAAACAATCAACAAAAGGAACATGTGGACGGGCTAATATTAACTAATTATATCTTCGGAGCTGATATAAATAAGAGATACCTACAATATAAAGACGAGTTGAAAATAAAATTTAGAGAAAAATGTTTTGCATAAATATAACAAAATTACACAGCTAATGGAACTCGTCTAATAAAAAAAGGCATTTAATGTAACTCCAAGACTACATAATAATTACATCTATTGAGATTTGTGCGAATATTTGCCCATTTTGTACATGTCTGTAGGTTTGCCTTTGTTTGCCACATTTTTGTGCTTGAAGAGGAATATTATTCAGTTATGGTAGAAGTACTAGGAACTTTTACGTTCCCTGAGTTAAAATATCAGAAATATAAAATGATGGAGATTAAATACGAATTCAGAATCGTTTATAGAAATCAAATTTACCATCAATCATTTCTAGATAATAACAGTATTAATTAGAGCTGAACTAATTTAGTAAAATTGCTAACGTCTGTGTGAATTTTTAAGTATTACAATTAAAATCCCATCCCACTTGTTAATTATTAATATGTCAACGATTAAAGCTCTAGCGAGATCGTATTGACTAGCATTTATGAAAATGACAATTTATTTTGACAAACAAATGACTACGTCTATATTTAAAATTCTTGATATAACAAAAGCTATGAGCATGAATTTAGTCATCTACAACGTCTAATTAAAGAGAAAGAACCGCATTCAAATCTATTGTAGATGCCGTTTCATTGAATATACATAAAGTTAATTTAATAAGATTTGTAGGTACAAGATATCGAACGTATTCACTCTCTGTATATTTTTTACTATTTATTAATGTTAATTGAGGACATGGTGTTATTGTTTCTAAAAGTCTTTTTCCAAACCTTTAACATATTCTGAATTCTTACTGGTTTAGCTTTCTATGTATCTATTAGCACACATATCATATAAATTAGGAAGTATGTAGGGGTTTTCAATATTACATTAAATATTACACAAGCACATTTTTCCTTAAATAATATGGCAACATACTTATACATAATACATAACAATATGCCGTCCATTTTAATGGTCATAGAACTAATTTTTGCAAAATGTTTTCTTAATTTCTAATAATTTCCAACAATAATATGCATGTAAACTGTTTTCATTTATTCAGAAGCCAAAACTGCTTTGCTGATGCCTTTACAACCTTTTTTTACAGTCTGTACACTAAAGAAGCATGACACAATACATGTTATGCTATATTTATTGTTGATTTTTAGGTTCTTGTAAAGCTTTCGATTTATATAAATCATAAACAGACATCTATATATTGAAATATATATTACAATTTAAATTTCTAGGCACACATTACAGATAATCATGGTAGAATCTAAATTCTTTATCTCGTAAAGCGGCGATAGTAATGATAAAATGCGATCTTGTAACGGTGTTCCTCAGGGGTGTATTTTAGGGCCACATAATTGTATTTTGCAAGGTGCAATTATATTAATAGGTAACAAAAACTGTGAAAAACTAATGGAATCGATTTATATCTTTCATGTCATGCTTATTAATTGTACAGCCTGGTTTAATAGGCATCTTTATAATTCTATTGACACGGTGACATCAGTCATTCTCCTCATATACTACACTATTTACAGTAACACATTATAATCTTGACACACTTGGTCTCAAATAGCGAACTACTTAAATCATATAGTAAAACAAACTGCTGTCTTACCGAACTCTGGTTCGTAGAAGGTGGATAAGGCAACATCTATAGTAAAATCGATCTCTACATCTCTTAAAGTTAAGATAATTTGATTAATACGTAGTTTAATGATTTAAAAAATATCACAAAATTGTTTGAAGTAAGTATTTCAATTAGTAAACCTTAATAACATACTATGCTTAAATTGATTTTCAATTTATTTTTGTCATAGACTTCAAATTTCTATGTATTATTATTGTGATTATACGTATTTCTCTAGGCACATTTTTGGTTCTCTACGTCTATAATTGAATAAGGTAATTAATATGAATCTGTTAATAAATCCTAGCTTTCTACGATCCAGAGAAATCGGATTCAGCAACATTACTCTATTAAAGCGTCTAAAAACGAATGTTACCTATCGGCGTGTAATGCAACTTGCGTGGCGCATCCGAGCGCAGTTCAGTATCGTAAAGCTTTATTGAATTCGACGAGATACTAATGAAAACCTTATTGTAACGACTCTGGAAGTTTCAGGTTATTACTGTATTAACTATCTATTAATTATTATTAATTGTTGAGATAAATGGGCGCATTTCAAATTCTACCCGTAAATAACAAAATTACATCTCTCGTGTCTAACGTTTACTACGTTTGAGGAAACGAGGTCATCTATCTCAACGTATCCACCATAATGACATCCGCGAACGGGGCTAATTAAATTTAAAAATCACAATTTTCTCCGGAACACTTCCGGATGGAAAGTCAATCGGGGTCGTTCGATGCGGGAACGTCCGGTGGAAGAGCTCGGGGCGCGAGCTCGGGAGTCGGAGATCAGCTGGGGCGCTCGTCCGACTCTCTGTGCACCAGCACACGCACCAGTGTGGGCGGTGGTGCGGGAGGCGCTGTCGGGGTAAGGGGCGCGGGGGGCGCGGACGTGGCCACTGGGGCTGCGTCAGGGGAGGCCTCCGTCACGAGGATGCTGACCTCGCTGTTGGCGTGCGGCGAAGGAGTGCGCGCGCGCGCCGGCGGTGTCACGCGACGCATGGAGCTTCGCCGCGAGCTCAGCCGAAGGGAACCTGCACACACAACATTGCATAGTACCACCAAATCAAAAAACATCCTTTTCTATCTTTTGTGTCTTCGCTTGTAGTGCCCGATTGCAGTGGTAAAGCTATCTATCTAGTTTCTAAACTTGATTCCTAAATCAAAACAGAACAGATTTTGATGTAAACTCGCAAAAACTTTTAACCGTTCAGGTACGTATCTGCAAATTGTATGTGGTACTTATATTTTGTAATAGTGTGAAAAACATAAGTTTGGACAAATGTTTAGCCTTGTCAGGCAGATTTCTGGTTAAAGTAGCACTGATGGCTGATAGTTCAATTAAATTGTTTTGTTCTAAAGTGTGAAATCAGTGCGACCCAAGGTGTGTCACTATTGCCATATAGGTACACTTTATAAAATAATAATGTAACAGATTTGTACTTACGAATTCCTGAGAAGCATTAAAAGTGAAGGAAAAATTGTAAAGGGAACAAACTACTCAGACTTACACACTACAATGTCCATGCTAACATTCACTTACATATAAATAGCTACAGAAGCGAGAACTCTGGGGTACCTACTACTAAAGCATGCAAAGCTCACACTCTATCCTTGTTACTTTAAAACGGGCATTGTTCTTAGGTATGCTTGTTAGACACGCCATCTAAAAACTGAGAAATAAGGTGTAATGTAAACTCCTTTTTATCTTTACGTTGATGATTTTTGAAAAGGCAAAATGGATGCTTCAATTAGTCGTTTGTAACGTTTTTTATCAAATTAATTTATTTGTTACCTAAGAATTGATCGACCGAGTGGTTGGCTTTGGCTATGTCTTGACAAGACAAACGTTGCTTCCAAAAGACAGGCACACAAGACAAATGGATAACAAACAATTACTTAAAAATTACTAAATAATAATTTAAACATAAGAACACTTTCCGAGTCTTTACTAAAGGAGAAGAGTAAGAAAAATGTAAGACTTGTGACTAACCACTCAGTGCTAGCCAAGTCTTTGCTGAGTATCGCAGTGTGGCGGGAACTGCAGTCCTTATTTGAATAGTTACGCGAATCGTACGAGTACATGTTCCCGCATCACAACGCGTTGCTCAGTTAGGACAGAGGGCAATCGAATGCAACTATCTCTAAACCTACTGAGGAAGAGACACGGAAAGCAAAACATTACATATGAACCTGCTCGTTTCGGGCCGGTCTCTTCGTCCATGGCGTCCTGATGCCGCAGGAAGATTGGCAATCCGTAGGCCGAGCGCCTTCGAGGCGGCGCTGACTCAGAACCACTCGGCTGTACCACGACAAATATTACTAGCTTTAAAAATAGAGAAGAGAACCGCCGTATCTCCACTGGCACCACCATCTCACTCACCGGTCATAACCGTTACGTATGGCGTAGATAAGTAATTACTGAAAGCACTATAAAAGTGGCGAAGAGAAGCTGTAGAAAATTCATTGACTATTTTTATAAATGCTTAACTACCTAGTTATAGACAGATAAATATAAAAGATAGAATAAATTCAACAAATGACTAATTCAATTTACCTAGATACTCTATAATAAACTTTAAAATGATTGTCTACACAGGCATATCATTTTTTGTATCCCTAATTAATGTTATTTTAATAAATAAAAAACGTAGACGCCCAATTGTGTAACACTGATTGTAGTATCATTAGATTATAGTTGAATTATGGAGATGGTTGGTACTGACTTGCTCCCCGGGCGCGGCCCCCGGCAGCAGCAGTAGTGGCAGGTTGAGCCAGGCACCCCCCAGCTCGCTGATGTCGGACGCGTCGGACGCTCGCGACGACTTGCGGCTAGACGCGTGCGAGCCACGACGCACGTGTAGCAAAGCACTCAGCCGCCCGCCCCAGCCTCCGCCAGGTGACCACTTAGTGCTCTCTTCTTCTTGTGAGGGACTGCGATTTTTTCGCCTGGAAATTGAAAATTAGCACTTTTAGTCCCGGAACTACGGAAACTAGCTATATTAAAACCACAGAACAACAGCAAAAATTTTGAAATCTGTCAATATTTTTCGATGCTGATCAAAAGTTAGTCCACTTACTTTACGTAATCTCTCCACCCCCGTTGGATAGTTCGGGCTGCCTTGTCCTCTCTCTTCCATATTCTCGTCGAGGAAACGATTTCCAGCTCTTTCCTCGTGGGGAATTGCTTCTTGAACTTGATATCCATCTGTTCTTGAAGCTGTCTGAATGTATCAGTCTCTTCAACATGCCCCAACACATGTTTAACAAGGGCATGAAGTATATCTAAACAGTGAATCTTATTGCCTTTGGCTATTGGCAGATTAAAACTGACTAAAGCCACTGTATTGGGTTTGGAAATGCCTAGCGGAGGGTCTAAGGAAGCTATAAAGTCTGATAGTTGAGCGAAGCTTATGAATTGAGTAGCGTGTGGATCGTATCTGAAAAGAGAAACATATATTTTATCTATCGTACTCTAATTGTCAATAAATTAAATAAATACATAGGTCTTGTTAGTCCAATTACAGTGGATTCAGAACCCAAATAGCTAGAATAGAACAACACAAGCACTATTGTTGTATTCTGTATTAAAGGATTATGCGGTTAATGCCAAGTAATAATTGTTTGAGTAACTTTTAATGTGTTTAACTGAAGCCGGGAGGATCAAGATAGATTGCAAGATTTACGAGCTCCTCTTTACGACGTCATTTGTGTTTGAAGTGTTCGTTCTGAACCGTCGTAATTGTAAATAGCTCTAATAACTCTAAGTGGCGCCGATTGGTTACAAACAGGTTAATTGTAAGTAGGTAGCCAAGATTTATAGAGGAAAGTTTATGACCTATCGTCACGTGGTGAGGTAACAAATATTTTTGTAGGGTTTTTAAATTTTAGCTAAGCTAATAAACTCACTTTGACCACCGAATATAGAACATTTCCAGATCATCTTCAACGATTCCAATCTCTTCCTCTTGATGTGCCTGATTGAAATTCTCCAGGATGATGGCTATGTACATGTTGATGACGATCATGTAACTGATGATGATGAACGAAGTGAAGTACGTGATGGCCAGGAGAGGGCTTCCACAATTCCCATTTTGTCCGGGATGTTCGCCTAACTCGCATTCAGGCGGCTGGATCATGAGCGATTCCAATACATCATTCCAGCCGGCTGACGTCATTAAACTGGAAAGTGGCAAAAAGAAACAAGTGAAATAACGATTCAATTAATTAATAGGATTCTGAGGAGGCGAAAAAGGACTTACCGAAAAAGCAACTGCATGCTTCTTCCGAAAGTTTGAAAGTTGACGATGTCGTTGAGCGCTCCTTGCTCCTTGACGTGCCCAAACACGGACATACCGATGATAGCGTAGATGAAGGTGATGAGAGCTAGTAACGCGCCGATGTTGAATAGCGCGGGCAGCGACACTACTAGCGCGAACAGTAGTTTTCTAATGCCCTTAGCGGCCTGGAAAACGAGCACGCAGATAGATAAATCTATATTTTGTTGTAAAATTTCTTCTGAATTTACACTGAAACATATTTATTTGATACAAATGTGACAAAATTGTACGTATTTGATAAAAGGAGCTACTTACTTTAATCAGTCTTAAAATTCTCCCTATCCTGAACACCCGGACGACTCGTAGCAAGGTTGGCGAGATCGGAAGGTCGATCATGATGTCCTCCATCAAGATGCCCAGGATCGACGCTAACACCAGCAGGAAGTCGAACACGTTCCATGGTACCGTGAAGTAATGATACCGAAGACCTACTATTTTTACTATCGCTTCTGTAAAGTTAACAAATAATTTAGGAGATTGCAGATGTAGGAAAGTTCCTGCTGATAGTAACTAGTGCTAAACCTTTTTGTAATGGGAACATTTGCACTTTTCGAACCTTCAACTAAGCAAAATTATGATTCACTGATGTGATGGTTAAGTGTGTGTTTTATAAAAAGGGCTTGGCACTATACTATGTAGATAAGAAAAAAAGTATCATACCTAAACCAAACACAGTTGTGAAAAACGCATTACTAACTTCTAATATAAAGAAAACGGAATGCGGTTGATCATAATGTTCTATGCCCATAGTGAGCATATTTAGGAATATTAAAACGAAAATTGCGATCTCAAATCTTCTAGAATTCGAGAGATCGTAGAACATAGCTAAGAACTGATTCCTTGGCCTTTTTATTACTTTCTGGGGCTTTTTTCTACCAAGTTTCTTCATTGCTGTATAGTAATGCTTTTGACTCTCGGTAAGGAACATTTCTAAAACTCCGCCTTCGTACTGAAAGGAAATTTTGAGTATAAGTACCAGATGCAATTGGAATGTTAGAGTAAAGTTTAGTAAAACATCTTACCTTCTTCTTGAGCATATTAAAGTTATCTATAATTACTCCTATGAACAGGTTAAGGGTGAAGAATGAACCGCATACGATGAATATGACAAAATAAATATATGCATAGATGTTAGCTTCTCTCGCCGGCTGCAAGTCGACTCCTCGTGCGTCGACAGCATCGGCCATTACTTCCATCCAACCTTCAAACGTGGCCACTTGAAATAACGCCAAGTAGGCTATGCCCACGTGGTCGAATGATATTTTCGAATTGACCCAAGTAAAATTATTGTAATAACACTCCCATTTATCGTTCACTATCTGAAATTGGATGGAAAACGTTGTAACTTGATTTAAAAAAATATATTAATTAATTTATTGTTGTAGTGTTTACTTGCCTCTAACGGTAGTAATTCCCCTTCATCGTCAACACACTTGTAAAATTTTCCACCAAAAAACTGAACACCCATGATAGAAAATATTAACCAGAACACTAAACACACCAACAACACGTTGAAGATACTGGGTATCGCATACATTAACGCGTTCACCACGATTCGCATTCCCTGCCATCGTGATATTGCTCGCAATGGCCTCAACGCACGTAAAGTTCTTAACGATCTTAAAACTTTTAAGTTTTCATTTTCTTCTATCAACAAACTGAATACTGAAACCTGAAAGCGGAATACAAGCATTAAAAAGGAGGTTCGAGGCGTAGTATTATATTAAAAAGGAATCATACTCACAAATACTATAGTAAAATCTAATAGAGTCCAGAAACTGGTGAAATATCTGAAGAACCCCAACGCAATCCATTTGAGAAACATCTCGATGATGAAGATCATACAGAACCCCAAGTTAGTCCAGTATAGAATTTTCTTCAACGGCTTGTTTTTTTCGAGGTGAATGTCTTCGAAGCAGAGCGTGATGCTTGATGCAAAGATGAGCACCAATACGAACCACTCGAAGGCTGGAGTGTCTACATACCGCAGGATATAGGTCCGGAGAAACATCCAACGTTGACCCAAGTTGGTTTCAATACATGCATCCCAACAAGTACTCCTAAAAGGACAGCGTATTTGCATTCATTCGGATCACAAGCATCTACTTAAACCCTCTACCTACCTAGGCTTCTGGATATCGTAAATACGTACGGAGAGTTGAGATTCTAATTCCCATCCCTGGAACCTTTTTTATTGTTTCCTTGGTTCCGAATTTTATGGGGTTAATAGGATTAATGTTGGAAAGCAATGGTCATAGCGATAAAGTTAGATGTAGATAAATTACTTGATGAAAGTTACATTACCAACTGGATGCAATATTAGGTTTTTAGAAGTGCAAAAGGTTTCAATAGATACATCACAAAATTTGTAAAGGGCATGAAGATTAATATTAAAAGGAAGAAGAGATTATTAGAAAAATTGGTTAATTATAAGACCTGACTAACTACCAAACTCCTAATATAGAAATGGAAGCGAATATGGCAATGAGCATCGAGACATTCTTGAATGAATACATACGCATCGTAACATTGGCGAGGGAAACAATTTTCGGGTACTTTCGGCTCTTTCTGTTTCCCAAATCCGGGGAAGTTTCCCATCGCATCAATATATTGACCCTGTGAGTTTTTTCTCCCACCTACGGTTAATTCATCTACATATGAGACTAAAGTTTGCCACGGACGCTTCATGTCTTCTTCATTGCTTCCTTTGACTGGTTCCTTACTTAAGTTGTTCGATGGTGGTAGTTCCCTGGGTTGCCACTTCGGTTTTTCTGGCGTTGTCCTACTCGACAATTGGGCCATTTCATAATGTTCGTTCTCATCTAAAATTTGTTTATAAAATAAATTGAAAGTATATATTTTGTAAAATATTGACAAAAACATTGATAGTTATTATTACCTCTTGAATCAGATGGCTGAGTGTGATAGCCAGAAGACACTTGGTTCAATAACCTTTGAACAGCAACTTGCTCTGTGGGCGATGTGTCTTCAAGATTTTCCTTGGAGTCTTCCCTAATGCTAGTGATTTTATGTTCGGCCGCCAAGTCACGCACGTCTTTTAAAGTTTCTTGACTGCCGTGGTTAAAGTTGTTGGTAGCTTGGTAAAGATGTGGGTACGCGAAGTCGGAACCCACTGATATAGGTCTGAAATATTTTACTTTAGTTAGATAACTTGAGTTGTGGGACGACTTGGAAATGTCGTACTTTGTAAAGCTAACTTGAGAGAATTGACAAAGCATTTGTTTGGTTCGTTTTTAAATCGACTTTTAAGTTAGTAATATTTATTGCTTGTATAAGTATTTCAAAGGTGACTTTCATCTTCTGAACGTGTCACCAAAATATAACTTAATAAATATACTTATTTGAGTCTACACGATCAATTAGATTATACGTACCTATTTAATGCTTCTTGATAACTATGACTATAAATATTGTCGTGTGGGAACAGGATAGTCTCCTGTATGGATGCTGAGTATCTCTGCTCACTCGGTATCGACGCCTTCTTCTCCTTTATAGCGCGTTGTTGTGTCATAAATTCGTTTACTAGCTCTTCTAATTTAGATTTTTTGTCAGTCTCTTTACTTCTCGATATAAGGAAACCTTTTTTTCTTACTATAGAACGTATTCTATCAAAACTTTTAGCTAATTTTGAATCTTCACCAACTTCCTAAAAGTTAACAATAAATTTAGTATGGATATACATATTTGTTTTTAAATTTCTTTATCTCAAAGTGAATAAGGTTTATATTTGTATACTGTTATGAAATTATTATCTTGCAAATATCAGCTGTGTGGGTTGTGGTTATTGTACATGCGTCGTATAGACGCCGCTCTAATGAAGAATGGATAATGGCGCCGACAAACGCCTACGCTGCACGCCCGCGTAAACGGCACACAGATAGGATCTTTATAGTGAAAGAGGTCCTTAAATAGACAGGCCCTTTGCGTTGATGTGTAAATACAAAAATTTACTCTAAAATAAAGTTTAACTTTTAAATATTTACTTTTATAAATGCCAAAACAAAGTGCGACAAATGTTTAAGGGTTTGCTGCTACGTGTGGGGTAACCGATTTATATACGCTACAGGGTGTTTCTTAGTGATTGTAAACATCTAGTTTTTCTTTTTGTAATGCGCATTACTGACCTCCTTCTTATTCTTAAGTTCCTCACTATTGAAGCTGTTGAGCAGCAAGGCAAGGAAGAGGTTGAGCACCATAAAGTTGCCCATTACGAGCGCGGGCAAGAATATGAAGAAGCAACTCTCTGCCCCAGTCTCCTGCTCCGCTCGCATACAGTCCCACAGAGGCTCGATCCACTCGCCGCAAAGTATCCGGAATATCATCATGAACGAGTGGAAGAAGTCGTTGAAGTTCCACCTTTAGACGCCGATGAGTCAGGGTTATTTGTTAATAACATTGATACAGAAAACAAAACAAATAGAAATATGGAACGATCACATGAATTGGGATTTTGAAAAAACAACAAGAACATTTCTATTGCTACACACAAGAAAATCTTGTTGTTACAAGAATAACTTTGAAAGTAAAATTTTGATGACGTATCAATATTTGTGATAATTTACCTGGGTACTGGATCCGGGTCGAACTTATCCGGAGTGTAGGACTTGGAGAATAGCTGCATACCGATCACAGCAAATATGTATATAACTATCACTAACACAAACGTCAAATTACCAAGAGCACCGATTGTCGATATTATAATACTCAATAACACTTTCATTGTAGTCCATGATTGAGCTAATTTTAACACTCGCAACTGTAAAAAAATAAATGCAGAAAGATAAGATTTGAGTGATACTATGAATAATAAAATATGTATTTGAGTAATAGAACTTACCAAACGAAGACCTCGTAACACAGATAGGCCATCGACGAGTTCGAATATAAGATCTAGAAGGCTTGCTGACACAATAATCAAGTCGAATATATTCCATCCACACGCAAAGAAGTCTTTACTCATTGCCATCACTTTCATTATACATTCCAATGTAAATATCGACGTGAACACCTGAAAGTCAATTTAGTTTGAAGAAGAATATAATGTTTATAAAATTTTATAAATTTACGATAGTTTATATTATATTAGTTTAGGCTTGAACGATATATAGCAACAAATTTGATTTTTTTGTGACAGGTAGCAACTTTGAGTAAACTTTTGATTACCTTATTTCCTATATCTAAGGCCGATCTAACGTTCTCACTCATACCATGATGCTCCAGCGCAAGGAAGAGTGTATTAAGAACAATACACGTTGTTATGAACAACTCAAACAAGGGATCCTTCACAATCCCATACAAACAATTCTGGAACTGGAGCCAGCCTTCATAGTCTATACAGCAAGACACGCAACATTCACAGTTTCTATCCACGAGCTCATCTGCCGGAAATATCAATGGAGTTTAGAAAAATATACAAACATCGGTAACAACATCAAACAAACTTCACACAAATACGTCACGAACAGAAGAAAGGAAGAATCAGAAGTAATAGATCAATTAAAACAAGCGAAAGCATAGTGAAGCAAATTCAAGTATCATCAATGCAAAGCTTTCGTTTTAAAAATTAATCTATAACTTATAAAAAATATTACACAAATTAGCATGCATTGTAAGCGAGTTGTTCTAAAAAAATATGCAGGAAAATTGCATTAGTTTGCAAGGAAAACCAGCATGGTAGTACGAATAATTTTGATTTGCCAATTTCGTGTACAAACGGTGCGGTTACCGGTACAGTGGTTACACTGAAAGTCCGACAAAACACTGACATGAATTTAGATGTTTCCAAATACGAATCGCATAAAAGTTATGCACAAGTGTTCAAAGTATTTGTAAAAGTAATTTCATGTAATGTGGAACGACTTGAATGCGATTCTGGAGCTATGACAAGACGACAGCTAGTCAATCGCAGTCACCCTGCAGTCTTCCTGTGGGGAACAGGGGTGGACTGGGGGGTAGAAGCGTTTGCGTCTGTGTTTACTAACCTGTGAAGTAAGTGCAATTTTGCTCGTAATTGCCCATATGAGTTTTGTGCGTGGCTGCCAATAAACTGAGCTCATTAATTTTCGTCGTCTCCGCTTGCGGGAGGTCGGGCGCGCGCTTGTATGGCCAGTCCGCCCCTGACGATATTAATGAGGGTAGAAGCGAGATTGCAACCGTGTCGTATTAAAATGCCCAATGAAGTGTACCTCATTGAGAAGTGAAGCTACTGGTGAATGTACCCAATCATAGGAAACAAATATTCTATCTCTTAAAATAAATTGATGACAAAATTAAAATGAATCGTAATCGGAGAAATAGAATAGTTATTTCCTTGAAATATTAGCAGTACCTAGAACTGTTTTAATTGCATAATGTAATTGCAGTATCTACAACTTTGGTAGCTTTTGCGACAGGCAAATTGAAATATTTGATATATCACTGTCAAAATTTATTCGCGAAGCTACCAAAGAATATATGTGAAACCGTTACATAAGGAATTTGAGTTGCACAGAATATTCATACAATTTCCGTATGAAACGGCTCACGTATTCGAAGATTGTTCAAAAATCAAAGTGGAACCTTACATAATGCTTCTGAAATCCAAAGAAAATATCATCTGTTGCAAATGAGAGTTGAAACAGAGTGAATAGTTAGAATTTTTAGAAGAAAAAGTATTTAAAGTCAAACTACCTAATAATTTAGAAACGTTAATTAAAATTAACCTGTACAACGTAAGTCCAATTTAGAAAAGTAGAAAATTGCATAGAACGCAAGCAATCAAAGGTTGAATAGATGTCGAAATAATGGACTCCTAAGTGACATAATTTGGACAAGAATTATTGAATATCATGCAGAATTATAGCCAATAAAACTTACGTCCGTAATCTAAATCTACAAAATTAATTTGGCAAGTTAATTAATTCCGATGAATGTACCGATCCCCTATAAAATGCATTCGTTGTCATAGTATTGTTAGCCCTTCGTGTTTGCAAAGCGTTCATTCTGATACATAGTGGCAGCATCGTTTAGTTTCAGTGTTATTTGTCTCGTGCTTTTCAGTGTTGAAGCCGTGCCAATAAATTGGATTAGGTTGTGTAGTGCCATCAAACTGTAATATTTATTTGATTGTCCAATCCCTCAATCGTGGCACATGTGCTCTACATCACCGAACCTTATTCAATTTGATGCCAATACTGAACCCGAAAAGTTTTTAGGAAGTGAAAAATGTGCTAAAGTTCGAAGAAGATTTTACCTAGCACGACGATCTGGTTGAGGTAGTCCGGGTTTAGCGGATACTTGTCCTGTATGCTTTTAGTCGGCTTTTTTGCTTTCAGAGCTGGCTTTTCAATTTTCGTTGTATGTTTGTGTTTTGTTTCTTGTGTTTTGCTGTCTTGAGAAACCTGCAATATGGGAATTCATGAACTATGTCCTACATACTATACTACTGCTTGTATTTTTCTTTCTTAGATGCAAAGAAATGGTTGCGTACCTGTTGAATTTGAGGCATAGGCATGGGCATGGGCATTATTGGTGTTGGCATCGGTGTGGGCATCGGCATTGGCATTGGCATCTGCATTGGGGTTTGCATCGGCATTGGCATCTGCATCGGGGTCTGCATGGGCATTGGCATCGGTGTCGGGGGGTGGTTTGGCGGTGGTGGTAGTTGAGGTATCAGTAGATGTCTCCTAGGGTGCGGATGTGGTGCTTGGTCGTCAGACGTATGCTCTCCATCGTCGTGGTCATCCACCACACCCGAGTCATCAAGGGACGACTCCCTATTATTACTGTGGTCACTTAACTGACGACCCGCTGCACTTAGGGCACCTCGACCTGAGAGATACATAAGAAAAATGTTTTTTAAAATATTATCTTTCCATTTCAGAACCTAGACTGTTTAAAAAGTATTGTATTCACATGCTAGTCTTGCATATTTGATAAATTATAATGAGAATACATAACATAATGTTCCATAGACCCGCTGAGAAAATATTCATTCAATACGTTTCTGCTCGAGCGATATTCTATTAACATTCTCTGAGATTTACTCGACAGCGAATCAATCTTTACGTCGTTGTATCGTCGGAATCATATTAATATGGAAGCTTTTAGTTCGACGTGATGTAAGTGGCACAGACGGAGACATTATTATGTACTTATTTTGTAATTTTACACTAAGATGTTTGAGTAAGTACTTACATGTACATTTAGTTATCTGGTAAGGGAACATGGAATACTACTTGACGCAAGTAACATAAGAAAAATAAACCTTAAGAACGGTAGTTTTAGTAAGACGACGACTTAAGATGGTTGGTCAAGTTCAAACACAGGTGTAGTGTTACAAGATTTTTCCTTTAAGACTTCAATTATCGTTAGACCCTTGTAAGTGAAGTATAAATTGGTATTGTACCTAATGCATTGTCTGGGTGCAGAGTGTGGGGCGGGGGTGGTTGCTGCGGCGCGGGGAGCGGCGGGGGTGATGCGCTCGGGGTCACGGACCGAGAGCGCGACCGCGACCGGGACCGCTTGCTCGCGTCACTGAAACAACATAGACACTATTACAGCTACACCAATATCAAAGTACTTCTTCTTCTTTAAGAAGTATTGGTAGATGGTCTTAGAGTTAACAATAAGTTACTGATTATTCCATAAAAGCGATAAAAAAGATATTTAATACACGGCTGGCATAGCAGCTGTTTACAATTGTTTGTTTCTATTCCGTACCTAAGTGTATGTACCCATGTGTAAGTTTAATTTTATATTCATTGATAGACGCACGACACAGGGCAATGATTAAAAAAAAAGTATTTACACATACTTTGATGTAGGAAATGCAAACTAAACTTGTTGCGAGTGCTTAGACATAATACAACCGTTAGAACCTTAAAAAATGTGCGTTAAAAATACCTACCTTTTTTTTTTTTTTTTTTTTTTATTGATTATAGGTTCGCGCTTGACCGCTATCTCACCTGATGGAAAGCGACGATGCGGTCGACGATGGAGCGCGCTTACCTAGAAGTAACCTATTCACTCTTGACTTAAAGATACCCAGATTGTAACTATCAGGAAACACCGACTCCGGCAAGGAATTCCACTCCTTGGCTGTACGCATGATGAATGTGCTCCCAAAACGTTTTGTACGTATATGTGGGACATCCACCATGTACCGGTGGCGCAATGCCGTACGTCTGGTGGTCCGATGATGGAACGGGCTAGGCGGAATTAAATTATGTAATTCCAACGCACATTCCCCGAAATGCAACCGGTAGAAAACCGACAGGCTAGCAACTCGGCGTCGATGCTCAAGACTTTGAAGTCTCGACTCGACAAGTGCATCATCGCCAATGATCCTCTTGGCTCGCCTCTCAATAGACTCAAGCGCATCAAGTTGGTATCGGGCAGATCCGTCCCAAAGATGAGAGCAGTACTCCATAACCGATCGAACTTGCGCCTGATAAAGTTTAAGCAGCTGTTCCGGCGTAAAGTATTGTCTAACCCTTGCGAGGATTCCCAACTTTTTTGCAGCCAGTTGAGCTTTTGCTTCGATGTATGGCCCAAAATTGAGAGTAGATGTCAGCGTTATACCAAGAAGATCAAGATGGTCAGTTATCGGCACGGATACACCCCGGAAAGTTGGAGCAGGGCTAAATTGACTCCTTTTGCTGGAAAATAGACACGCCTGAGTTTTAGCCGCATTGAACCTGACCATGTTGGCGTCGCCCCATTTAGAGACAGCCTCCAAGGACAAGTTCAAGCGCCCAACCATAGCCTCTCGAAGAGTCTGGATCTGTGACCCACTAGCTCGTGCGCCGGACGTGTAACTCTCAACAACAGTGCTGTCGTCTGCATACCCAAAGGTACCGGGCTTAAGCAGGTCGTTTATGTGCAACAAGAACAATGTTGCCGAGAGCACTGACCCCTGAGGGACCCCAGCATTGATGGTCATTTGATTCGACGAGCAACCATCGATGACCACACGGATGGACCGGTCCCTCAGAAAGTCTGCGATCCAAACACACAATCCAGTGGGCAAACCGAATGAAGGAAGCTTACTAATAAGGCTTTCGTGCCATACCCTATCGAAAGCCTTCGAGATGTCAAGGGAGACGGCAAGCGCTTCCCCGTGTTTCTCGATGGCCTCATTCCAGATGTGGATGGCATACGCTAGAAGATCACCTGTGGACCGATTCCGGCGAAATCCGTATTGTCGGTCACTTAAGATGTCATTGGCTTCTAGGTATGCCAGGAGTTTTGTGTTCAGCACACGTTCCATTGTCTTACAGAGAATGGACGTTACTGAGATGGGCTTGTAGTTAGCTGGGTCAGCCCGACTACCCTTTTTGGGCACGGGCTGTACGTTAGCTTGCTTCCATGCATTCGGAACTTTTCCAGCCTCAAATGAAAGCCTAAATAGGCGCGTCAGGATTGGAGTCAATTCTGGCGCACACGTTTTCAGCACGATTGCCGGTATCCCATCAGGACCGCTAGCCTTGTTCACGTCTAGGTTACGTAGCACCCTACGAACGTCCTTCTGATGGATGCGAATGTCTGACATACTCGTCTCACAACCATCAGGATAAGCAGGGGGCCGCGCGCCACCGGGATCTAGACGCGAAGATTCCGCGAAAAGGGAGGCAAACAGATTTGCTTTCTCCTCAGCGGTGTGGGCCAGCGAACCGTCGGGCCTCAGCAATGGCGGTAGTGAGGGGCGGCAGAAGTTCGATTCAACCGACTTAGCCAAGGACCAAAACGCTTTGCTACCAGCGGGGTATGAAGCAAGTTTGTTCCCGATGCGGCTGATGTGGTCGAATCGAGACCTCCGCATTGCCTTCTTGCAAGACTTGGCAGCACTGTTGAAGGCTCTCTTCTTCTGACTCACGTCACTCGCCTTACGCATGCGAGCGTCGGCCCAGGCCCGGTATGCTTCGTGTTTAAGCGCATTAGCGCGATCACATTCAGTACCGAACCAAGGACGAGCTTGGCTAGACATTGTCACGTCGGAGAATGGAATGTAGTACTCCATCCCCCGGCGCAGCACATCCGCCACAGCATCTGCGCATGACGATGGATCATTCGAAGAAAAGCAAGTAGGCTGCCAAGGATAGGGCAGAGATCAGGCGGAGAATAGACTGATACAGATTTCACCAGACAGTGGTCGGAACTACCTAACGGTGATGATATCGACACTGAGTAGCGGTCTGGATCTGTTGTCAGCAGAAGGTCCAAGCAATTGGCCGTGTGCGAATCAACATCCGGCACCCTTGTAGCTCCCTGGACCAGCTGAGTGAGATTTAATGCCAGCGCAAGCTTTCGCATCTCTCGACCAGCATGGTCTGTGCACTGGTATGGGAAGAGCCACTCCTGATGGTGGGCATTAAAGTCCCCCAGTAACACCAGTTGAGCGGAAGGGTACCTCTGCTGAGCCGCATCCGCCGCCTCACTAAGGTACTGTGTGAGCCTGGTCGCCTCTTGGTCTCCACTGTGCGAGCGGTAAACACAAGCATAGATAATTTTATCCATGCCTGTGTCCACCAGAGCCCAAAGCGTTGAGAATTTGGGATCCTCAAGGTTGCGGAGACGCCGATAGCAGATGTCGTCCCGGGCGTACAAGCACACGCCAGCGTGTGGTTTAAAATTGTGCTCCAGGATAAACCCTGGGTAAGACAGATACGACACATCTGATGGACTTCTAATCTGCGTCTCCGAAAGAAAAAAGAGGGATGGTTTTTCCGTCTCAAGGTGGTGATGGACTGCTGAGAGATTGGAGTGCAGACCTCGAATATTGCTGAGGTGCACTTTAAGTGAGAGGGAGTGCAGCCGCTGTGTACCGTTTCTCTTTTTCTTGGACCTTGGCATAATATGAGTGAAGGAGGTATGAGGAGAAGGAAGTGAGATGGAGCCCAATGCAGCCAACCCTCGGTCGCGCACCGGTGGGACAGCATCATTGGGGTACTAGTCTGGAGACTGCGGGGACGCCCGAGCCCCCCCGGAAATGACCATCGGGCCCTCTCTTCTGGTCGCCAACCAGCACATTGGTGCATTCCGGGATTTTTCGTCAGTTGGCGGGGCAGTCTTTCACGTGTGGCTAGCACATTACTTGGGCCCCCTACTAACTGCGGTCGGCCAGCGGTGCACCGTGCCTCGGATCCCGCTACCCTCCTCGACTAGTCTCCCGATACGTCAATACCAGCGCGAGGCCGGCTGGTCTGCATGCATTGGAACCGCCACTTCGACCCATTTCCTCAGTAGTGGCTACACAGGGCATCGTACCGGAACACGGCTAGGCCGCTTGGCGGTACGTCTTTGCCCAGTGGGTGGTCACAAGCCATCGGTCGAAACCTACCACCAGCTAGTGTCACCTGATTAGCACCACCCGGGGACCACGTGTAGGGCCTAACTGTGGGTATTCTCCTACGGACGCGGGTGACTCAGCCCCCAAATTACCTACCTATTTGAAACCTGTTAACACTTTAAGCAACCAGTTACCGTGTTTTCTTATTAGAAATCTAAATTATTAATATGAAATATCCGTCTTACAATAAGGATTTATTGAGTATATCAATGGCATCAATACGAGAACATACGTGGTAGCATGTTCAAAAATTTATAGCCTCTCAAGTTTCGCCGTTAATGGAAGTCGGGGCTTAGCGCGGCTACCGCTCGCTATGGTAAATGGTCCCGCGGCAAACAGTATTATCATGTAAATTCACGTGTTGACTCCGAGTTTTCCGGAATTGGGTCAAACAGGTGAGCCGCTTTCAAACGGAAATATGTATTGTGAATTGCGGGAACTGCATTTGTCGTCGGCTCCTCTAGATTAATAGTTCGCTTTATTGTAGTTGTAATGCGGCTTTCGTGTAAACGTATGCAATGGTATGTTCATTTACTTATGTTATATTTCACAGAGATTTATCTATCTGTCGCCAAACGTATTTTGTATTCATAGAAATAACTACAGAACAGAAATAGCACGAGACAAACTTGTGTTTGAAAACGTTAACTTGCTTTTTCAATTAACTAAATGAGAGTTACGTCCAAGTGCTTTCAACTTTAAATCGGATCAAACTAATGAAGTTTACAGAGTTCAACAAGAGTTTGTAGATAAAAATAATTTGAAATGTTGAAGTTCTAGACAAGATAATAATTTGGACAAGAATATCACGAACAGATGTTACGAGGTATCATCATCATCATCATCAGCCTATAAGTGCCCACTGCTGAGCAATGGCCTCTTCTCACACGGAGAAGGTTTGAGCATTAATCACCACGCTTGCTCAATGCGGGTCGGCGATTTCAAACTTATAATTATAAATTATAAGTCCAGGTTTCCTCACGATGTTTACCTTCACCGTATATCAGTGGTGTCTAAATAATCCTAGAAAGTACATATAACTCGGAAAAGTCACATTGGTACTTGCCAGGTTTCGAACCCACACCCTCATGCATGAGAAGCGGGCTCCTCAACCTCCGGGCCACCACGACATTCGAGTTACGAGGTATATTTTTGGGTTTTCATTGTCATTATTTTGTAGGTTTTT